CTGCCATGCTCGCGATGGCTCGCCCGGCCTACCAGTCGATTTTGCAGCTCTCCCCCGATAAGCCTGCTTTGGTCTTCGTTCCAAGCCGCAAGCAGGTTCGTGCGACCGCTGCGGATCTTCTGTCGGCTTGTGCCATCGACAATGATGAAGATCGTTTCCTGAATGCCGATGTCAGTGAGCTTGCTCCTTTGCTGGAGCGTGTTCATGAGCAAACCCTTGCCACGTCGCTTTCTCACGGTATTGGCTACTACCATGAAGCTCTCAATGCCACTGACAAGCGCATTGTCTTGCACCTGTTCAACATTGGTGCGATACAGGTACTATTGGCTTCGAGAGATGTGTGCTGGGAACTGGATATTACGGCTCACTTGGTTATCGTAATGAACACTCAATTTTTCGATGGCCGTGAACATCGCTACATTGACTACCCCATCAGCGATATCTTGCAGATGTTCGGCAAAGCCTCCCGTCCCGGTCAGGACAAGCTTGGTCGCGGTGTTCTTATGGTGCCAGCAGTGAAGCGCGATTACTATAAGAAGTTCTTGAATGAGGCCTTGCCTGTCGAAAGTCACCTGCAGGTCTACCTTCATGATGCCTTTGTGACTGAGGCCAGCACAAGGACCATCTCCTCCACCCAGGATGCGGTTGATTGGATGACATATACCTATTTCTATCGACGTCTCCTTGCAAACCCCAGTTTCTACGGTCTCAGCGATGTGAGCCACGAGGGACTCAGCACGTTCCTGTCAGAGCTGGTCGAGAACACATTGAAGGAGTTGGCAGAGGCGAAGATCATCGATGTTGATGAAGAAGATGACAGCGTTTCGCCTTTGAACGCTGCCATGATTGCTGCTTACTACAACATTTCGTTCATCACAATGCAAACATTCTTGTTGTCTCTCTCGTCCCGGACGAAGCTCAAGGGCATCCTGGAGATTGTGACCTCGGCGACTGAGTTCGAGTCTATCCAGATGCGTCGCCATGAGAATCATATTCTCCGCCGCGTGTATGACCGTGTACCGGTCAAGATGTCAGAGGTTTCCTTCGACTCTCCCCATTTCAAGGCCTTCGTTCTCCTCCAGGCCCACTTCTCCCGCATGCAGCTCCCTCTTGACCTTGCCAAGGATCAGGAAGATATCGTTCGCAAGGTCCTCAACCTGCTCAGCGCTTGTGTGGATGTCCTCTCGTCCGAAGGTCACCTCAACGCAATGAATGCAATGGAATTGTCCCAGATGGTGGTTCAAGCTATGTGGGATCGTGACAGCCCTCTGAAGCAGATCCCCCACTTCTCTCCTGAGGTCATCAAGGTGGCCAATGAATACAAGTATGTATCATCAAAACAATTTCCAGACACATCTGCTAATCTCCCATTGTACAGGATCAACGATATTTTCGAATTCATGGAGGCCATGGACCCGTCGGAGAACAAGGACTACGCTACTTTGGTCAAGCGACTTGGCCTCGATAACAAGCAGTTGGCGCAAGCTGCGGCTTTCACCAATGAGAAGTATCCCAACATCGAACTTGACTTTGAGGTTGAGGATGCCGAGGGCATCACTTCCGGCGAGCCCGCATACCTCAAGGTCAAGATCGAGCGGGACATCGAAGAAGACGAGGAGCCCGACGCTACCGTCCACGCACCATTCTACCCCACCCAGAAGATGGAGAACTGGTGGCTGGTTGTTGGTGACGAGAAAACCAAGAGCCTGTTGGCTATCAAGCGTGTTACCATTGGCCGCAAGCTCGAGCTGCGCCTGGAATATGTCGTCCCTACGCCTGGAGAACATGAGTTGACGCTCTACCTTATGAGCGACAGCTATGTTGGCGTTGATCAAGCTCCCACCTTCAGCGTCAATGCGGCAGAGGGAATGGACGAGGATGAGAGCGAGGAGGAAGAAGAGTAAATTTTATGATCTGGTCAATTTGTAATAATAGTTGATGTTTTTCAAAGCCTTAGAATAAAGAGGTGTTCCATATTCTTTACTTTTCTTTCGATTTAATACTAGATACTAGACCTCTGCTTGGTATCACTACTTCATCAATAATCAGTGTAGAGACTGTATAGTTGCTATATCTACCCCGTCACTCGATTCCCAATCCTACATGTCTGCCAACTGGCAAATGAAGTCATGCAAGGTACATGCCGCCTAACCCAATCAGGACCATAACCCCCCGCATGATCACGTTGCTCCCCAACCTCCCTCTTCTCCAACTCTTCTCCAGCTCTATTCCTCTCTTTAATCTCATCAATAGCATCCTAACTCGTGTTCTACATATTCTGTCATCCTAGAACCCCTGTGGATACCTTCATTTAAGCTTAATTCGGCTCTGGAAGCTCCCCCGAGCTTCCTATCTTATCTACCATACGATCTGACATGACAATTCGGGCCATGAAGTTCACTCCCGAGTAAGTCCTGTTAATATCTTGGCCAATCTGACATTAATAATTATTGAGTTCCTATCAAAGTACCGGACTAACATTTATCTCTCCAGGGTCCTGCTCGGAGCACCCAGGCGGTCCTCAGCTATCCCCAATGCGGCCGGCACTTTAGCAGTCTATACGCAGACATCCTATTCCTTCGAGTCCCATTCCAAGACCAATGAGATCCGCGTTATCGACATCAGCTCCGGCCGATCTGCCCTGATCACCAACGACCCCGGCGCCAGTAACCCACAGTGGGTGGATGACAGCGACAAATTAGTCTGGCTGAAGACCAAAGGCAATGGGAACACAAGCTTCATCGTCGGCGATTCTCGCCAGGCCGATGAAACATACACTGCAGGCACTGTCCCGGGCCCTGTATCTGACCTCAAGGTGGTCCTTTTAGAGCCAGGGAAGGTCGGCTTCGCCGTGACAGGCAAGGCCAATACAGATGGATCGTTGTACAACCCCCACGACGCGAAGAAACCTCATGCAACCGGTAAACTGTACACATCACTCTTTGTGAGACACTGGGACTCGTATGTTGAGCCCCAGAAGAACGCGATCTTCTATGGCTTGCTGGAACAGGCTCCTCTGTCACCGGCCCGTAGACGGGCTGGGAAGTACTCCATCTCGGGCCTCACCAACTTGATCTCGGTCTCAGGACTCGCAGGAGTCGAGTCACCGATTCCGCCTTTTGGTGGCGCTGGTGACTTTGATATTAGTCCATCAGCTATTGTGTTTATTGCAAAAGACCCTGACCTGAATCCCGCGACTCATACTTCGTGCTCGTGCTACTATGCTCCCATGTTCTCGTGGACGAGCATGAGCGAGCCTGAATCGAAGATCTGCAGGGTTGCCGGTCTTCAGGGAGCGATGTCATCTCCAGTCCTTAGCTCAGACGGTAGCTCTATTGCACTGCTGGCGATGCGTGAGGATGGCTATGAGTCTGATAAGAACCGTATCCTGTATGTTCCCAACCCATGGAGTGGAGATATGGTTGAGATCTTCAAGTCGGACGATGGCGAAGGGCTCTGGGATCTCAGTCCTTCGGTCGTGTCTTTTACTCATGATGACAAGTCGCTGCTCCTACATGTCGAGGAGGTTGGTCGCGGAGTTCTTTACCAGTTACCGTTAGAGAATGTGCACACAATCAAGCCCGACTCTCTCAAGAGACTGACCCGGTCGGGATATGTGAACGATGCCGTTCCTGCAGCTGCCAACTCCTCCAAGCTGTTTGTTTCTAGCAGCAGCCTGGTCGATAACAGTCTGTGGACCATCATCGACCCAGCCAAACCGGATGATGTCCAAATGGTATCCTCAAACGGTCGGGGCGGCAGTGCATTTGGCTTGTCCTCAGCCCAGGTCGATGAGATCTGGTTCAAGGGAGCCGAAGACCATCCTGTCCACGCGTGGGTCGTGAAGCCGTCCGACTTCAAACCCGGCAGTAAATACCCACTTGCATATTTGATCCATGGTGGACCCCAGGGTGCATGGAATGATCAGTGGAGCACGCGGTGGAACCCCGCTGTTTTCGCCGAACAGGGCTACGTAGTGATCACCCCCAACCCAACAGGCAGTACTGGCTACGGCCAGCCGTTCACCGACGGTATCAAGGGACAATGGGGCGGTCGGCCTTACGAGGATCTGGTCAGGGGATTCGCTTATATCGAGCAACATCTCGAATACGTCGATACCACGCGCGCGGTTGCACTGGGCGCCTCTTATGGTGGCTATATGATGAACTGGATGCAGGGTAATCTGCTCGGGCGCAAGTTCAAGGCGTTAGTCACCCACGACGGAGTGTTTAGCATGACTTCCCAGCTGGCTAGTGAGGAGCAATACTTCCCTCTGCACGACCTGAAAGGGCCGATCTGGAAGGTGCCTGAGAATTGGTCGAAGTGGGATCCATCGCGGTTCACGGAACACTGGCAGACGCCTCATCTGATCATTCACAACGAGTTGGATTACCGTCTCACCATCGCCGAGGGTCTGGCTGCGTTTAATGTGCTCCAGATGCGCGGCATTGATAGTGCGTTCCTGACGTTCCCTGATGAGAATCATTGGGTTCTGAACCCTGAAAATTCGCTCATGTGGCACCGGACCGTTTTGGACTGGATTAACAAGTATGTGGGACTCCCGGCTGTGTCGGAGGAACCCGATCTATCACGCGGAGTGGGCAGTTTGTCGCTGTGATGACAATAGTTTCTTTGATTTGGCGGGTTGAGCCAATGAAAGGAGCCTTTCACTTGAATATGAAACGTATATGATGGATATTTATGAACATGGTTATTGTTCTTTTCTTGGAAACAAAGATTACGGAGGTTCTGCGAGAAGGTCGCCTTGATTGGCGAGTTTAGAATGTCTTTGTGCTATACAGAGACTGTTTCGGGTGTTTCATCTCATTGTCGATAGTTCTTTGAGGGTTTTTCACAATCGCATACATTTCGTATATATAAGAGTCCCTAAATTTCCTCGATTTGCATTCTGGTTGTCATCCATTGCAAGAATTCCACTTGGCCTTCCAAGGTGTCATCTATCAACACATCTATATCTATATTTATATTATTTCACTAAAATGAAAGACGATCCAACAACTCCCAACTCCCCTCACAGCATCAGCTGGCTCTCTGACCGAACCCTCTCGGTCTCTACCACATCAACCACAACCCTAGCAGACCCTTTAAGTCCCATGAGCCTTTGCTCCAGCATAACACCTCTAGACCTCACCGAATCCCCCATCCCGATCGAATACCGCACAATCCCCTGGCGCGAAAGCCCCAACTTCCACCCCCAGTTCCTGCCTCTTCTCCGCCACCTCTCGGCCCAACTCTGGCCCCTCGTCAATTGTGAAACAGGCCTCCAACACCCGGACTTCCCACCAAACATGTTGGCCTACAACCTTCTGACCTCCGAGCAGGTCGATAACCTCGCCCGCCATTTCCATCAGGTTTACCCGCCTGTCCCGGCTAGCTTTAATTATCCTGTTTATATTACCCCGTGGATTGGCACCGCGGAGGAGAAGACCCTTGATCTTCCTACGAAGGTAAAGCGGATGGGGCGATTTTTTGGATTGAAGGGGTGTGAGGAGGGGGAAGTGGAAGTGGGTGTTGATCATGCGAATGAAACTGGGAATGAGACGAGTGAGAGTGCAGATGAAGTTTTACAACAAATGGAGTTGGAGTGGCAGCAGGCATTACAGAGAGCGTATACTGAGGAATCCCATCGGTGGAACTTGAAGTGAAGAGAATGAGAAATATGAAACATCCAGGCTATACTACTATACTACTATACACGAATTTCGAGTGGTTTTAGCCGTCGGTTAAAAAGATAGACAAGTCATAGGCTAATAGGGGGGGTTAATAGGGAGTTCACAGGGTTAATAGGGTGAATGGGGTAATGGGGTAAATATGGGGAGAGATGGAATAGCACGTAAATAATAGATTAATACTCTCGCTACCCTACTCTTCTCTCAATAACCATACTTCATACACGCTCTAACCATCACTTCTATCAAAATGTCCAAACCACTCATCAACCACATCTATACAGCTGATCCCTCCGCCCACGTCTTCAACAACAAACTCTACATTTACCCCAGTCACGATCGCGAAACAGACATCGCCTTCAATGACAATGGCGACCAATACGACATGGCCGACTACCACGTCCTCTCCATGGACACCATCACCGGCCCCGTAACCGACCACGGTGTCGTCCTCCGTGACAAAGACATCCCCTGGGTCTCAAAGCAGCTCTGGGCCCCAGATGCAGCAACCAAAAACAATAAATTCTATCTCTTTTTCCCGGCTCGCGATCAGAAGGGTATCTTCCGCATCGGTGTAGCCGTCTCCGATGCCCCAGAAGGTCCTTTCGTTCCCCAGGATGATTATATCCAGGGTTCATACAGTATCGATCCTGCTGTCTTTGTGGATGAAGAAGCCGGTGGTGAAGCCTATCTGTATGTTGGCGGAATCTGGGGTGGACAGTTACAGTGCTGGGTGGAAGGGAAGGATGTTGAAAACGGGGAGTGGGTCGATGGGGATGAAGGTGGTGTGGATGGGAAGAAGAAGAGACTTGTTTTCGATGAGAGTATGTCTGGACCCCAAGAGCCTTCCGGGGAGGGTGTGAGGGCTCTTTGTCCGCGTGTTGCACGGTTGAGTGATGATATGTTTTCGCTTGCCGAGTCCGTGAAGGAGGTTGTCATTCTGGCGCCAGAGACCGGAGAGCCTTTGTTGGCGGATGATCATGAGAGGAGGTTCTTTGAGGCTGCTTGGGTGCATCGGTATAAGGGGACTTATTACTTCTCTTACTCGACTGGTGATACTCATTTCTTGGCTTATGCCACGGGTGACTCGCCTTACGGTCCGTTTACTTACCGAGGTCGCATTTTGGATCCGGTGCTTGGGTGGACGACCCATCACTCCATTGTGGAGTTCCAGGAGAAGTGGTACTTGTTTTATCATGATTGTGAGCTTTCGAAGGGAGTTGATCATTTGAGATCGGTCAAGGTGCGGGAGATTGTCTATGATGATGAAGGGGCGATTCATCTGGCTGAGAAACAGACTGCTGTTGAATAAATGGTATTGAGATGTGGATTTGCATTTCAACAGATTGTATATCATATTCTTGGATTATTCATAGAAGCTGGTAGTAATCTCATGGTGTATCAATTCTAGTTGAGCATACCCTTCTCCCGGTTCTCCTGGACCAACTTCCAGTACTTCTCGCGAGATCGTTCGCGGAATGTCTTTCCAAATTTGATCATGAAGAAGAAGACCGAAGCGCATGCCATACCAACAAAGGCAGCGGAAATAAAGCACTTCTGGTACCCCAAGTCTTTGATCCAAGGCGTGATACTGTATAAAGTCAGCTCATGCCTGCTAGAACTTGAAGAAAGGGAAACATACCCAAAGCTAATGGCGAAGGACATGGTATTCCGAATCAGCATCACACTAACCAGAGCAACACTGCTCAGTTCTCGGTAGCTGTCAATAAAGTAATTGACGCTCAGTGTGATGCCACAGGCATTACTGAAACCAAGCATGGATATGGCCACCAGAAGTCCAAACCAGTGGATCTCGTGAGCTGCACCGACACCCCATAGAATGAGAGAACAAGGCACAACTATGAAACAAACGATGAAAGGCCACAGACGGTGCTCGGCTTCCATGACACCCCCGTTGCGGCGGGCCAGTTTGACAGTGAGCCAATCACTGAATCGGCCGGTGAAGAGGGATCTATTCCACGTCAGCTAGAGTTGCAGTGTTAGTTAGAAGGGTGTATCTTACCCTATCACCACACCAGTGATGGGGGCTAGATAACACAGACCGACCATCGAGGATCTGGAAGAGTTAGTTTGGATTCTGTGTTCGGAGAAATAAGACAAACCTGAAGTTGTATGGCTCTCCACCAAGAATGATAGAAGTCGTTCCATTCATAATGTTAAAGTAAACCAGGTAGGATCCATAAGAGAAGCTGGGTTGTATGTTAGTCAAATTGTGTAAGTCCAAGGATATTGCCAATTCCTACCCAGCGTAGAAGATAACCGGCCACGAGAGGAAGTAAAGAGACTGCCAAAATCTCCGGAACATCGTATTGGTCTTCTTTTTCGGACTCCAAAGTGCCAATTTCTCCATGTATGTTTTCTTCGTGTAGACTGTACCGGTCTCGGTGGCGGTGTCAACAGCCGCCGGTTCCTTCTCGCCGTCCGAGCTAAGTTTCGGCGACTCTGTGCATGCGAAATTGCTTGGCTCGACGCTCGCTCGTTCATAGGTGGTTTCCTCGCAGAAAAAGAAGAGGAAGACGGTTGCACAGCCGACAAAGATACTCGGGTAGTAGAATACCCACCGCCAGCCGTGGTACTGGGCGATGAAGCCACAGATGACGGGTGCGATGTAATTGCTTCCTGCTAAGCAACATGTGTAAAGCGCCATGTATGTTCCTCGCTGGTGGGTAAAGTACTACCACTTGTGTGAGCGGGGGCTCTTCTGTCAAGGCTGGTTCAACTTACCACATCCGTGACGGAGATTTGCGGAAGTGCCTCCACGGGCGCTGTAAAGAAACCTAATAGAATGCATCGTGCGAGCCACTGACCGGTGGTTTTTGCGTACGGCCTAGCCAGTGTTAGTAGATTGGTTCTCTCATTGTGGACATGATACCTCTTACCCCCACATAGTCATAGCCTGGATGTATCATTAGCTCTAATTTCCAACTGAGATCTCCAATTGCGGACGTACCAAAATGCCCATCATGGACAACAAGTAAGTTGGCCGCTTGCCATACTGCATCGCAAAGGGCTGCCAGAATAGCAAACCCCAACCAGCCAACAAGAACATAAACCCGGTTCCCTGGTTCAGAGTACTGATAGGCAATCCCGTTTGTTCAGAGAGTGGCTTTAGGACTGAGTACACAACCGAGCAGGCAATTCCTCCGAACCCCGTGTAGCTAGAAGCAGGACATCAACATCGACTCGTATGATAAGCTCAGTAGCTTGTACTCACATGCTCACACAGATTGTTGACAGGAGCTTCCGTTTCGGACTCCAATTGAGAGGGTCATCCGGGTCATTTGAGGGTGTAGGGATCAGCACAATATCGCGATCTCCTTGGTCCGCATGTCGGGCTTCCAAGTCATGATTTACGTCCACCAGAGTGACGGTGCCAGGGATAACGGAGGTGTCAATACCTGCCATTGTGAGCAAAAGTGAAGTGAGAAACAGAGGAAGAGCGCAATATAAATGAAATCTCCCCGCAGATCAACATATTGAGAACCCCCAAGAAGTCCCAGGGTCAAGGATAGACAAGATAACGTGCATTCACATTCTTCGCTATCGGCCTTTTTCCCCCGCAAAAAGTCGGTCTTGGCGTGTGCTTTTTTTTATATCAGAGAGGACTTGACTCGACTTCAACCAATCATCTGAACTATCCCGATCATCTCCAATCTATTACGGAGTACGGCATTTAGTCCGAGGGTTGATCATCCACCTTCATTGGACGATTGTAATGTTACTCCCTCCCCCAAACTAGACCAGCTCCTTTGATAACCATAGATTCCCTTCCTATTTCGGTCTAATTTCCTTCCCCCTATCAGGAAACAAACGATGCAACTAATTCTTGGCTTCGTCTCCATAGCGCCTCTGCACTGGCTTCACCCGCTGGGAAGTCAAGGTGTGGTAATTTCGGTGTCTGACAATGGTCTAGAAACGCTCCAGATTGGACTGACATCTCGGGTTCACCAATCAGTATCTTGTATGAAGATTGATTTGTGGGTTATCTTACCTTCAAGCTCCGGATCGAGTAATCCGCGCAGTACTGTGGCACTACCTTGCCCGAGAGACTTCGGCGCTTGCTGTAACAGGACCGGTATGTCTTCACCCGCTGGAAATCCTATCAATATGGTCTCTTCACCGCTGTCTCAAATGACCGACATACCTTCTTTCTTCCGCTGGAGCCAGGACTTGATATCCTCCATGGCAACATAGGTCTGGACGTTGGTTTTGGTATCTGAATCGAATGAGAATGAAGATCGAAAAGCACACGAACCAAGTGACTCACTTCCTGGATTGGCAGAAAACGCAGCGACATTGTACTTCTTCGCAATAGACTTGATGAACAGGATGATCGCCAACATGGATTGCGAATATCCATCGAGACAATGGTAGTTCTCTCCATTCTACTCGAATCAGCACCACACCAAGCAACGAGAAAAGAAAACGCCATCAAAGTTCACTTACCTGGAATCTCAAGTCTTCCCACGAAGGCGCAGGCGCCTCGTTCCGCAAACTAGACGTAACCAGAACGACCCTCGTCGCAGGCCCCATGATCTCACGCAGTAGATTCAGCATCAGGAAATAACACAGGTAGTTCCTCTGGAAATGAGATTCATGTCCATCCACCGTGAGCTCCCACGGTACAGCCATGACTTCGGGAAATCCAATGAATCCGTTAATGGTCACACCCAGCTTCTTGATGGTATGTGCTGCCTCTTGGAACGAAGCGAGACTGCTGGCGTCGGCCGTCACAAAAATCAATTTAACCGCTTTATATTTCCGATTGATGTGATCAAGCACCGGCTGGAGTTCGGGTTGCGAGCGGCCTGTGCATATTATGGTTCCTGCGCCGCCGTGGGCCAGGGCGTCTGCGGTCGTTGCAGGGAGATCGCCTCGTTTGAGGCCGCATATGAGGACTGTGGGAGATCAGTTTCTATACCGGGTTTATTGGGTTGTGGTAATACATGTTTTTCCCTTCACTCGGTCTGGGAACATCTTCGTCACGTCCATCCCTTGTGTCTGCTCATCAAAGGTATTGCTCATTGTGCTGGATATTGTGGAACCTGGGTAAGCTGAGAGATGTCTGCTTTCTCCTTGGCCTGAATAGACAAACTCGACATGTCGTCATCATGAAGCCATCTCGGACAATTCGACATCAATACGGAGAACATCTGGAGCAAGTAATTACTGAATAAAACATGGAATTATGGGTTGCAACTTGTAGACACGTTGGGAGATTCGACACAAGGTAGACGATCAGCCTTAGCAAAATCAAATGCGCATTCATAATGTACAGCTAAACAAATCGCACACGTACGGAGCCTGCCGGTCAAAGGAGAAAAACGTAGAAGACACGATCAAAAGTTATGAGTGAGATGGACCTGCGTCGTCTTCGGGCATTTGGTCAATGACACCCTTCATGAGCTCGATAAGCTCATCAATGTCGGGCCGTTCCGAAGGTTCAACAGTGAGGCACCTGCGGACAATATCCTTGACAGGTGCACTGATCGCAGGGACATCACTTTTGGATGCATCCTCGCTTTCACCCGACTTGGCTTTACCCTTGGAAGCGCCAGACTTCTCATCAGGGAATCGCCAATCACCACCAAGAACACACATGCTCAAGCTACCACCGGTCTCTTCACTGCGCGCCTCAAAGGGACTCTTGCCCACAAGACACGCGTACAGTGTGCAGCCAAGCGACCAGATATCAACCTTGGTATCAATGATCGATCCAGTCTTGACATCGAAGAGCTCTGGTGCGCGGTATGGCATCGTGCTGTGTTCTGCTGCAGTGTCCTGCACCGCCAAGGCGAGTGAGCGCGACGTGATGGCGATGGGGCTGGGTGCCAAAGAGCCCAGATCCATTAGGATAGGTGATTGGCCGTTGTCGTCGATCATGATGTTTCCTATATCAACAGTTAGCTCGTTGGGACTTTCCGCACCAGCCAACGCGTTAACTCACCAGGCTTGACATCTCGGTGCGCATAGGGCCGCAGGTCCCCATCCTCGACACCTTCCTGACTCCGGGTGACCTCGTCATCCATGAGGGGCTCATTCTCCTCATCCTCATCTTCCCCCATGTTATGAGTAGGCCTCCGTTTCGGTTTCATCTGCATGGTCCGTTCCTCATCTTCCTCCTCGCCTTCTCTCCGAACACCCTTTGCTTTGCGCGTAGATGCCGACCCGCTCTTCACCCGATAATGATGCATCGCGCGAAGCGCATCGGCAACACCGAGTATTAGAACCATCAGCCGCTTCTCTGGGAACTTGGTATGGTTGACCAGGTTGGCATTGATGGCATCCTGGAGATTACCGCGCTGGTAGTATGGGAGTAGAATATAGACCGTCTTTGAACCTGGGTCTCCGCCATCGGATCTGAACTTCGAGCCGGATTCTGTGGACACGCAGTGGTCGATTGAGTGGATGATGTTGGATTGGGAACTGAATAGGTTGTAGGCTTCGACTTCTTTCAGGGCCTGCGATACGGATTCTTGGCCGAAAGGACAGCGAATCTTCTTCAGCGCGAACAATTCGGAAGTTGTTTTATCTTGGACTAGGTAGACGTAGGAAAATCCGCCCTGTTGCGTTGTCAGTTCAGGTAGTTCGGATAGTTCAGACCAGGTTGCAGTTCTGGTGATTGGGTATCCATACCTCGCCCAACAAACGTAGGAGTTTGAAACTTCGATTGTTGATCTTCAGCTGTGGGGAACTAGGAAAGCAACACATGCAATCCGTGAAGTTGTATAAGAGGTCGAAGAAGTACTGCGCCATAGTGAATGCGATGGTAGATAGAGGTAGAGGTGACCCGGTGACTTCCGGTGTAGGATAGATGTGCAGTTACAGAATGGACAAGATCATCGAATGTGTTGAAGATGTAGATGTAAGGATATATGCAGAGTGAGAGAGAGTTGAAGTGGTTGGCATTACGTGGAGTGGAGTCTCATTTATTTGTTCCCCTTTCTCTTTCTGTATCTCTACATTTCTCTCGTCTCTCTTTTCTCATCTACTGTCAAATTGGAACTGAGTAGGTCTCTTTCTTTTCATTCGTCTCTCTCTTTTCCTTTCTTCCCAATCATGGGAGTTGGGCCGTCAACTTAATATCCTTGCATTCCCCTAACGCTCCCTCTACACGCCCTTCGGACCTAGGGGCTATTGATACCTCGGAACTCTTATTTAAAAGCCGCATCCCACCTTTCTTTTTTTTTATTCTCTTCATATCAAGATCTTGCCCAATGGCGCACGATGATGTACGTGTCGGTGAGGTGGTGAATGTCCCCGGTGGCATGTATGGGACGGTTAAATACTTGGGACCAGTGGCGGGGAAGGCCGGACGATTTGCAGGAGTCGAACTGAGCTCCGAACACGCGCAAAGAGGCAAAAACAGCGGCGATGTCGACGGCCGGAAGTACTTTGTGACCTCCATCCCGGGTGCTGGTATATTCGTTCCTATGAACAACAACAAATATGTCACCAAACGATCAAATGTCTCGACACCGACTACTCCGGCACGCGGAAGACCCGTCAACTTCAGCAAATCTGTCGGTGCATCCCTTACCACCCCCCGCCCTCGTGTCCGACGACCCTCTCTCCCTCGACCCGAATCCCCGCGCGTGCCCCCTCCGAAACTAAGCCTAGCGGGCTTGCGGACACCATCAGCGGCATCGAGGACCAGCGGGATGAATAGCGCCATGCGTAGCCCTGTCAAGGCACCGTCTCGGCTGTCTGATAGGCCCTCATCGCGACTTAGTGTGGATGACGATGCTTCATCGTATGGACGACCATCGGACTTCCGCCGACCGCTTTCGTCGGAGACTCAAGACCTAAAGGATCAGATCAAGAGTCTAGAAAAGCAGCTTCTGGACCGAGATAAGCAGCTCGACGAGCAGTCTGGAACTTTGAGCGAGTTCCAGAAGACTTTGGAGGAGATGGAAGGACCGGACGGCCATGCGGTTCGTACACAGCTACGCGAACGCAATGAGCGGATTGCCCAATTAACGGCCGAATTCGACGTCCACCGCGCAGACTTCAGAAGCACCCTTGACACATTGGAGGTCGCAGCCTCCGAAACCGAACGTGTCTATGAGCAGCGTCTCGACGAGCTTATGCAGCAGAACAAGGAACTACAGGATCGCGGCGAAGATGTTGAGATTGTTGCGCAGCAGCTCAAGCAGTTGGAAGAGCTGGTTTCGGAGTTAGAGGAAGGTCTCGAAGACGCCCGGCGCGGAGAGGCTGAGGCGAGGGCAGAAGTCGAGTTCCTCCGCGGCGAAGTCGAGCGAACCAAGCTGGAGCTGAAAAAGGAGCGTGATAACTCCGCCGCTGCGCTGAAAGATGCACACGCCGCCGTAGATGGACCCCGCAGCAGCAGTAGTGAATTGGATCAGAAGGATGATGAGATCCGAGGACTCAAGGCTATCATTCATTCATTGAGCCGCGGGAATCCCAACACAGCAGACATGGGACAGAAGGACTTGGACTATGAGCATGATCCGGAGCAGATCAATCAGCTGGAGATTCGACTACAAGAGATCGAAGAAAACACCAACCGCAAAGACAGTCGGATCGAAGAGCTCGAGCGTGAACTCCAAGAGATGCACCTGCAGGTTGGTGGTCGTCGCCGCAGCTCTACTGTCACTCTTTCACCAAAGCAACATAGACCATCGCACTCTGCGGGAAACATTTCCAATCATTCAAACAAACCCAACCCCAACTCCAACCCCAACCGTCTCTCTGATCGTACAGTGGTCCCGAATGACTGGCATGATACTCCCTCAGAGTCTCGTCATCACCGCGGTATCTCCAGCTCTTCTCAGTCGCGACTAGAGACCATGCATGAATCCGAACGTTCTTCCGATGAGGATACCATGTGGTGCGAGATCTGTGAAACAGGCGGCCATGACATCTTGAACTGCACCAGCATGTTTGGCTCTGGCCAGAAGCCTGTTGGACAGAAGAATGCCACGCACGATGCTGCCGACGAACTTGCCGATGAACACCCAGTTCAGAAGACCGAACCCCTTCAGACCAAAGCCTCGTCCATCCATTCCGACACTCCTTCCGCCCTAAAGACAGGACGGGATGTGGTCATGGAAGGATTGAAGGGCATTGGCGGGTTGGGCTCATCCATGGCTCCCATTGCCGGTAAGTCATCGGGGGTCATCGACGAGTCTAAGTGGTGCGCTCTCTGTGAGCGAGACGGCCATGAGAGCATCGACTGCCCATTTGATGAATAAGTTTGTGGATATGCATGGGCTCGGTGCACCACACAAGATGCCAACTCTCTGCTGCATGCATCTATGGGGTGTTTTTCTAGTACATGATTATTGGGTCGGTTTGGTTCCACCACTGGTTAATAAATGGTGTTTCGTTTTTCGAGGGCTGGAACTTCCTGGGAGGTAACTAGGAGCGAAGGTTTGTGCCTCTCATGAAAGACAGGGATTTGCATCACGGTGAGGCTATGTGCTTGTAATAAATACCATTTCTTTGGTCATAATAAGATGTCGTTGGTGTATACCATATTCCGACTTCCATCGTAGCTCGGGTTGACCTTGAATTTGATCGCCTTTTTATATCTCAAGGAACGTATACATACATTCCAGTCTATTCTATTTCTATTTCCATTGATGTCACATCAAATAATGTTGAATTCATCACTCATAACCTTTCATGACCGAACAAGATTGAAGTCACAGCCTGACCGACCTGGCCCTCCGATGCGCCTGATCAGTTTACTACTCAGGATGATTGGGTGGCTGTACAATTTCTCCATCCTGATACTTCGACGCCGCAATCTCTCCACAAGCCTTACACTTGCGCTTTCCTTCGTCGGCCGCGAACTCCTCAACCACAGCCTTAACTTGCGTCCCCAGGTCAACACACACGAACTTCTTCTCCCAGACGATCTCCTTGCAGCTCTTGCAATACCATCTCATAGCATCGAGTGCATCTTTGGCCCGCGGCTGCTCCATCACAACACCGACACTGTCCTTGAAGCGCACGGGGCAGTGTGGGGTGTTCGCGGGCAGTAGGAAGATCGAGCCTTCGTGGATGGGGATGTCTTGAAAACAAGGAGGTGTGGTTGAGTCGTCGACTGTTTTGAGGAGCATTGATCCTCGGAATTGGTAGAAGAACTCTGGTGTTGTGTTGATGTGGAAGTCGGTTCGCGCATTGGGCCCGCCCACTATCATCACTGTGTAGCCGGCTGTTGCCGGTGTTGATGGATGGTAGACGCAGTAGTTATTGACTGGTGGTTGGAGGAGATGGGAGTTTTCTTCGAGCCTGGAGAGATGTCAGCAGTTGGCTATGAGATAGCTTGCTTATGGATCGCGTGATGAATCATAGTATCACATAGTGGGGGGAGGGTGAGAAAGATATAGGAAGCTTCTTGGCTTACCATTTAGGAATGTTTAGCGCTGGAGGAAGCATTGTGAATATACCAAGATCTGATCTTGCCAGAGCCCGATTTCTTTTGCAGATATTGCATGAGGTTGGTTTAGAAACCTTAGAAATCCGAAACGACGATCTGATCCCCGGAGATATCAGCTCCACCCCGGAGTTAAGTACCGGACCGGAACAACTTCCCTCCGTCAATTTTTCTTTTTCATATCTCGAATCAGCCAGACACTGTTTAACGGCGAGAGTCTTGACCAACCACACAAAATGGCAACAACCTCTCAACCCCCCTTCGGTTTACATCCCATCACAACCTGGTATATCGCCTGGTTTTGGCCACCCTCACCGGCCGAACAGTCCACATCTCGCAAATTCGTTCCTCGTCGCCCACGAATCCAGGTCTTGCGCCTCATGAAATTTCTTTCCTCCGTCTCCTAGATGCAATTACCAATGGCTCTCAAATGGAGATCTCATACACGGGAACTGTGCTTGTCTATAAGCCCGGTTTGATCACTGGCAGTACGGCCGGTACTGGAGCCAGCGGCGGCATGATCACTTACGAGCTTCCGTCAAACTGTAATCGCGGTCTCAGTTATTTCCTGATTCCGCTATGTCTGCTGGCTCCCTTCGCCAAAGCGCCCATGAAGGTGCTCTTTACAGGACCCGGAGTGATTACTTCCTCAACACCGACCGGAGATATGTCTGTCGACAGCGTTCGCACTGCGATCCTCCCTCTGTACAACCAATTCGGTATCTTCAACAACATTGAGCTCCGTATCTTGAGACGATCAAACACTGGTCCCAACGGCAGGGGTGGTGGCGGTGAAGTGCAACTTGTGTTTGGCCACCAGGTCCGTCTGCCGAAGACTCTGCACTTGATGAACGCGGGCCGCATCAAGCGCATCCGTGGTGTTGTGTACTCGGTTGGTGTGTCTGGCTCGAACAACGCTCGCATGATTGAGACTGCCCGTGGTATTCTAAACCCTCTCAGCCCTGATACTTATATCTTCTCCGATGTTGCGTCTGCGCCGTTGGTACCAGCTCCAGATAAGACCAACCCCCAGGCAAAGAAGAAGATCGGCCTTGGATTTGGTTTGTCGTTGGTAGCGGAGTCTTCCACAGGGTGTCTCTTCTCGGCCGATGTGGCTTCTCCGCCATCGGGTGGTCAAGCTCCCGAGGAGGTTGGCAAGCAGTGTGCATTCCAGCTTCTGGAAACGGTTGCCAAGGGAGGATGTGTGGCTCCTGCGGCTGCGACAACCATGTTCACTCTCATGACCATGGGCTCGGAGGATGTTGGGCGGCTGCAGGTTGGCCGAGAGGTCATTGCTGATCCCAACGTGGTCCAGCTCGCTCGAGACCTGTCCAAATTCGGTGCCCCCGGCTGGGGTATCCGAGACGCACCCGACAATGGCGATGGAGATGTGATTGTCAGCATTGTCGGCCGTGGAATCGGTAACGTCGGCAGAAAGGTTGCTTAAGCTGCTCCGGACGGCTTTCGCACTTCATTTCAAGTCTACCACCACTCTGAGGGCTTTGCCAAACAATTCGGAAGTCTCACCTCAGCAGTTCACTCCTTCCCAGCAGACGGGACCACGTGGTAGTCCATCAGATGCCGTCGGCGTCACGGGCTTCTGGCCATCTGTCCAGTGCGCGCCAGTGTACTCCAAGAAGCTCAAGACGTTTCAAGGCTTGACTGTCGAGCATGAACTCGACTTGTCGCTCTATCGCGACGAAGCCATGTGAGGCAAAAGACTGCTTTTTCCATCATGATACCCATACAAAACTTGCTAGAGCAAGGTGACAATACATAGGATTCAATAACATTGTCCTCTCTTCAACTTCTTCCACTTCCACTTGTATACTTCTCTATACTTCTACATTGACATAATAGTGACATACATCTCAAGTAAGTTTGTATCCTGAGGCCATCGACGCTCTGTTTATAAATACCCCCATCCTCCCCTTTTTTCTCTTCTCTTCTTCATCTCCCCTTCATCCCCTTTTTTCTTTTTCATCATCCCCCCATCCCCCATCCTTCATCCTTCATCTTTATTACCCTTCCTCACCCCCTTCCATCCTTCACCTTAACATTTTTGGGGTTTTATGACTGTCATCTATCCCTCGCCTTCTGCTCACCGGTCCCGGGGCAACCTGGTGCCGAGTTGGGAAGTGAAGAGACGGACTTCGTCATCATGTTGGTTCTGCAACGTTCTCTACCATTTACCTCATCCTTCATCTTTTGGTTTTCTTACTTGCTATCTATCCCCCGCCTTCTGCTCACCGGTCCTGGGGCAACCTGGTGCCGAGTTGGGAAGTGAAGAGAGGGACTGCGTCATCATGTGTGCTTTGCAACGTTCTCTACAATTTATCTTGCCATCTCTTGCTATTTACCCCAGCGATGGCTCGCACCTCACCGTGGTGCTGGGGTCTAGTAACCCTTCGGGGTGAAGCCAAGACGAGCCTGCCATCTATATGACATCTATATGACATTTGTTTACATCTTGTTTACCATCTCCACGTCATTTAATTGTCATTCATCTTCCACATTTATCCTTTGCCTTCTGCCCACCGTCCCTGGGGAAACCTGGTGCCGGCTGGGAAGGGAAGAGAGGGACCTGCCTTTGTGCAGGTGCCATCTACTTACCACTTCTGTTTTCTTATGTTCTCTCTGATATTCCTGCCATTTCTGCCATTTCTGCCATCTACTTTTCATTTATTCCGAGTCAGTCCAGGTTGCCCTGGGCTGGGTTGGTGCCATTTATTTCGCCATTTACCCCAGCGTTGGCTCGCACCTCATCGTGGTGCTGGGGTCTAGTAATCCTTCTGGATGAAGCTAAGGCGAGCCTCAATATTTACTTTGATTGTGTTTAGGTGTAGGCTTCTCTTTTTGTAGTGTTGTACACAATGTTGGTGACTTCTAAGTAGGGCTTGACGGTCGCGTGACTTGTCTTTTGATTTGTTCTGGTTGGACCCCACGCTCGTATAGATAGATTGGCCTTTTGTTTTGTTTTTACTAGTTATTTACTACGCTAGGTATATGGAACGATTGTAATCAAATGGTTCATGTTCTAAGTTTATGAAATCTAGTAAACGCTAAACAGATGGGTAAGACATGAGACGTCGATGCAAAATGGTCCTCACAAGGACAAAGAAAATGGAATGCTTGAACGCTTTTGAATCCAAAGAAAAAGATCAACAAGAAAATCATAATGAGAATGGGAGAAAGAAAGCAATGAAATGACAGTATGCAATGAAACAGGACCAAAGAATGCAAAAAATTGTGCAAGAAACCGAGAATATGCCAAAAAAAAACAAACAAAATAACAAGAAATCAAAACAACACAAGGAGTCCATCGGTCGGTTGAGCACCTCAATCCGAGGTATCCTCATCCTTACCAGGATACATGATATCTTGGCGATAGACTGCAAGCATATGATTAACAAAGACGAAGATGAACATGCAGACAATGCAAACAGTCATCGCAGAACCAACACCCTTGATCGCTGCGCTATCAAACGCATTACCAAGCGTAATAGTAGCAATAGTAAACCCGGTATTAGGGAAAACCATCGCCCACCAGCTCAGATGGAAGCTCGTCGGTGGCGCCCGAATAACCGCAATAGCAGCAACACAGAAGAACCAAAGGCTCAGCGCCCACAAGAACGCACCGGCTGTCAACGCCAGGATCTCAATCATGCGTCCATCAGCTGCAGTGTCCTCACTCCCCATCACCTTGAATGTCGCCGGCAGTCCCTGCGCCATACCGACCAGAGCAAGAGCCGTGAACGCGGGCGGTCCGACGCAGATGAACATCGCTGGTCGGTGTTCGCGGCATGGAAGACCGCTCTCCATCAGTCGTCCAATGTAGTGCGAGTACATCATGAACGAGATGCAGAAGCCCAGGCCTTGGAAGGTCATTCCGGCAGTGACGATTGGGATTGCTGCGCGCTCGGGCTGGCGTGAGGCGATGACGGAGGCAATCGTTCCACTTAGCATGATTGGGAATGCGGGTAGAATCCAGGAAGGCATCATTGTTTGGAGGCGGTAGGTGTGCGAAGTGAAGACGAAGGAGTATTGTACAACGGCGAGGGTGAAGGTGCAGAAGCAGTAGATCCAAAAGAGGACTTCGAGGGCTGTGGTGAAGGATGGAGCAGCATTTTCGCCAAAGTATTTCTCCAGGCCGCAGATGATGGTTGCGACGGAGAGCCAGAAGGTTGGGAAGAACAGGCCCTCGCGTTCATGACGGAGGGAGTTGAGGGCTCCGCCATGGATTATAAAGCGCGATGCCATGAGAGAGCAAACAAGGGAGAAGAGGACGAGGTTGATTATGTAGATGGCTAAACCGATCTCACGGTAGCCTCTGAATTTGTTTGGTTGGTTTGCTATGAGGAGGGCGAGGCCTCCTGCACTCATGGTGAGAGTGTACCATGCCCATGTGAAATGACGGAGACGCTCACGGAAGCTCAATGGGTAGTGCTTCTCGCACTTCTCTGAGTTCATGAAGGGTTTGTTGGAGTGAGCGGACGGCGGTGCAGATGAGGGTGCGGATGAAGGTGCGGATGAAAGTGCAGAATGAGGATAAAGCTCTGGGTTGTGATTAGGGTATGCCCCTAGTAGAGTTGGATTGGACATTGTGTATAGAAAGTATGAAGCCCTAAGTTGGAACAGGAAAGAAGTATAGAGTGAATGTATTCAAGATAAGACTATAGACCAATGGGTCATAGAATGGGAAAATAGAGTCAAGCCGAGTGGAGACTTTGAATTGAAGTGACTGAGATGATTGAAGTGATTCTGATGATTGAAATGAACTGGAAGGAGCGAAAGGGATATGTTAATATACCAGGATGAGCAGCAAAGACATCCAGGCATATCAATTCCATATTCTACTGAAGATCAGCCAAGAATTTCCAAGACTATACGTTTGATAGGGAAAAAAAATATTCAAAAAGGGATTCTATACAACGTACTCCGCAAGCAAGGCGATAGGGTCATCGTCAACCTACCACCGTCGTCAACGGGCATGTTAGACCCATAATTCTCTTGCACTAAGAGCAATCCATAAGAATAGATCGGTCCGGGATGTTGGGCTCGGACGATTCATCATACTCCATATGCGTCAGGGGGGTGAGTGGCGGTTAATGCCTCTCTAGGGGTTCCGGAAGCACAGAGATCCACTGATCCACTGCGGATATCTGGGCAGCAGGTTAGGCGCATGTTGCGGTTACAAAAACTTCGATGCCTAGGGGGAAGATCACGAAGTCAAGGGCGTGGGACTCTCTTGCCAAGAGCATGAAGGAATCATTGGTGCGTGAAAAAATTTTTATTTTCCCTGCGCAATTGAATATAACCTGGTCCTAGAAAGCCAGTCTGATTGACAATCTAACATATAGGTCAGTTCAACATCATGAATCAGAGACAAGTTACTCAGATGATGAATCTCAACCCCGATTTCATTCGGGCCGATGTCCCTCGCCGAACCTTCTTCTCCGAGATAAATAGAGGAAAGTCTAAGCAGGGATTCAACGTGCCTGGACGAAATGCCAAGAATGAGGATCGACTGTACATCGTTGACGGACCGCTGCCAAGCTTTAATTCGGTGGCTGTGAAGAAGAGACCGGATTGTATGAATTGGAAATACCAAGGTGACACCATTGCGTGTATGCACAACGCATAGAACATGTTCACTAGAATGTTATAATACGCAATATGCGTAGATCTCCAAGGAGAAGTTGCGTCAAAGTCGGTGGAGTTGAAACGTTGACGTACACTTGGAATCTCTTGGCACTTTTTTTTCTTTTTCCCCCTGAACTTCTCTCTCTCTCTTTCTCTTATCTCGTTCACAGCCCCCCAGACAACAACACTATTGAGAGAGGGATTCTCGCCAAGAATTCATTATGACATGGATGTTCTGTCGATCAGTCGATCTTTCAAGGGGGAAGAATTACTATTGGAAACTAGCCTTATCTTTGGTCTTGTTCTGCCAAGACGACGATATATGTCTACTCCTATTCTAGATCTATTGAGGCTATGGAGACTAATGGGTTCTGCCTACAGAGTACGAGAGTATGAGAGCACTGGGCTCACCCTCTGAAGTACTCAACTGGGATTCCACTGATCGTCCCGCAACTGGTTCCAGCAATACAATATATAAATAGCAACTTCATTCAAAAACAAAGCCCCAAGCCAAGATCATGCAAAAGAAAGGCAAGATAATGCAATGCACCTCAACAGAAAATGACAAATTCAAATTATGCAACAGAACACCCAGCACCTTCGAAACATATTCAGGGCAGCAATGCAGGAAATCATAACAAGTTTATGCAGAAAGAAAACATAAAAGTCTGGGCAGACCCATCCCAGACCCAATCACATCATCACATCTCACATCATGCGGTAGACAAGATCAGAGGCCAGCTCGGTCGTCAAGTCCAACAAAGCACGAAGACTCTTCGGAGAAGTGGACGTCTCAACCCGATCCACCTTTGCATCCACAGGCCGTAATGACGGCGTTGCCGAGACAGAATCATCGGCCGAATGATACCGTGCCAATTCCTTCACGTTGCACGCCGCATAGTGCACCACCAGTCGGCGTAACTCGTTCTCCCGAAGCTGTGTCGCGGATGTCGGCGAGATCGGCTCAAGTCGGGCTGTCTTGGTGTAGGCGTAGTGTACCAGCTCCAGTATCATCTGCGCCTTGGTGGCTGCCAAGCCGTCTAGAACTTGGGAATCGTCTTGATCGGCAGTTTCAAAGTCCACCGATGAGAGGATGAGAAGGTCGCGATGTAGCTTTCGAAGACAAAGCTGGGCGAGAGCGGGGATGAGGTACCGGGTGGCGAAGACGTAGACTTTCGCATGGAATGTGATGTAAGGTAGGTCGGTACTTGACGTCTCGACTGGGCTGGGCTTGGTTACCGGCTCATCATTGTATTGTAAGGATGTGAACTCTTCCCATAGGCTGAGGCCCGGCTCGCAGGGTGAGGTGACTTGATGTTGGGCGAAGGACATGTCGAGCATTGGTCTTGGGCGCTGTGTCTGGGTGCTGCTTCTGTCTTGAGTCCAGGAATCTTCCATCGACCCTTCCACGGGTGCAGGCAGTTCTTCTGCAGGGGCGGGCTCTTCCGCCGGTCGTTCCCATGACTCAGTCAGTTCTGGTTCTGCTGCCGGGGTAGGCTCTGCTGTAGCCAGTTCTTCAACGGGCTCTGTTTCTGGCTCTGGGAGACGCTCGACAGCAACTTCTGGGGGTGGTGTTGATGGTGGCGTAAGGTTGACAGGTTCAGTTGGTGGGGGAAGTTCTTCCTCGACAAGCTCTTCTTGTTTTTTGCCCTTCTTCCCTTTCTTTCCCTTCTTCTTGTTACCCTTGGGTTCTTCTGACTCCCATGACACAGGTTCTTCGGTGGGACCTGCCCATTCATCCTCAACAGGCGGCACTTCCTCGACTGGTACTCGTACAGCCTCCGCTTCGTGGTATGTCTCTGGCTTTGCCTCTGACTCCGCTGCAGAGACTGGGGCTTCGGACTCTGGAACCAGTTCGGCCTCAGGCTCTTGCGCAGAGGGTGGAGTGACCGGTCTCTTGACCTCGGCGGGCGCATGCTCAGACACCGACACCGACGCTGGCGCCTCAGGCTCAGGCACAGGCACAGACTGGTGAGCCACACCTTGTCCCCGATGACGATACTGCGGAGGTGGCGATGGAGCCGGGGGTGGCACAGTCGATGCGATTGAACCAGACCGGTAATGCTCTCTCCAGGTAGCGGTACTGGGCGAGCTCTCAACTACCCCAACCCTGTGATCTTCTCGGATCTCCGGACGAGGCACCTTATAATCGCCGGTATATGCATACTCACAGAAAGCGACAAAGGTTTCAACATCATCTTCTTCCAGAACGGCAATTCGGTGTTTTGATTCCCTCGTCGGGCCGTTCATGAGATTATGGAGTGGTTTGGAGACATGCTGAGCGAGTCCCGACTGGATTGTCAGCTTTGTATGTCGTGGGCCGACAAGGAAGGTGAATGATGGTGAGTGGATGATGCTGGGGATGTTGAATTAGCGGTCTGCTAACATTGTACCTATGTTATAGACTATACACACCTGGTAAAATCCGGAACAGACTCCATGAGAGCTAGTTGATCTTCGTCAGAGGGACTGAGAGGAAATTAATCAACATTCTAAGATGCAGGGTAGGCCCCATTAAATATTTCACCGCGCATTCCCACGACACCGGAAGCGATCTCGGGCGAAGATAGTAGTTTGCTACGTGTGCAGCTGTGATGGGGACAGGACCCATTCTGCTAACGCTAGACCAGATGACCCTTCATGAGAGATGTGAAATGGGGCCAAAGGAAATTGGGATGTTCTCGTGTATGTTCGCCCTACACTATACCGTCGATATCCTAATGGTTTATAACTATCCAATGCCGATGACCTCTCTATTTGAACCATTTGAATGCTATCCCGTTATCACCAAGGGGAAAAAAAACAACGCAAAACAGCCATACAGAGCAGCCATACAGGACAACTGGCGTTAACTGGATCCTAGACTGTCCAATTGTTCGGTGAGGTTGGCGTCAGCAGGTTTGTGCCCAATCCCCAGCCTCGAGAGAACCCAATCTGTGGCCTCACTGGCTGATTTGTTCCTGAAAGCTCCATCGGCCTTGAATTGGGAGCTTCACTTAATTTCTATATTTTGATTTGTCTTGGATCTCATGTATATCCTGGGATGTAGCGGTCAACGGCTGTACAGCGGTGCCCTAAAAAAGGTACCCGGACCTAATGAGGTATACCGAGGTTGAATTACTATGATATTCCTCTATATTCCTCTATATCAAAGGAAATATTCACAATAATAGCCGTTTCAAGTTTCTCACTCTTCTGCTGCAGGTTAAGTATATTCTTTGGCCCCTCCTGTCCTCAAAATAACCCTTTTACTAATTAGCAGGCCCATGAGTATATTTGACCTTCACACATGCAATATTCTTTAAATGTATGTAAAAGAGCAATGAACGACACAATCTATCCCGATATGTTCCCAATAAATCCAATAATATACAAAGCAAACTACAGATCAACTAGTATGCATCAACCGAATCTCGGTATTCCCAGGCTCCCACTCCCTCAGCCCTTCTCCAACACTGTACCAAAATCGCAACCGAATACATTCCATCCTCGCAGCCTCCAAATCCCCTTTCTCAAGCGCCTCCCCAAGACTCTCCACACATCTATCAACCCTCCCCTCATTCTCCTTCTTCAGCGCATCGATCTGCGCCTCCGCGTCAGCAGACCCCCCAACTTCCTCAATGGTCTCCTGCACCTCCATGACCTCCATCAGCGTCTCCGCATCAAGCGCATGCTTAGTCGACGCATCTTCCGCTGTCACGTCGATCCCGTGCCATTCCCGAAGAATATACTGTGCACGCTGCAGCGGATCCAGAAGTGTCCGGTACGCTTCGTTGATTCGTGCTGAGAGAGCCTCGGCTTGCTGCTTCTCTGTTCCGTTGGGGTATTTGTCTGGGTGGACGAGGCCTTGTAGTTGAAGGAATTCGCGGCGGAGATCGTTAGTTGAGATGGTGAATGGGGAGCCCGGTGGTGGGCCTGCTGGTAGTGTTCGAGGGAAGATTGTGTAGTGGTTGGTAATGTCTGGCGCGCCGGCGAGGATTGTCTTGCTTGCTTCTGTTGGGGTGGAAGATTTTGTTGAAGCAGAGCGGCAATGTGTCATCGGCGTCATAAGAGATTGACGTGTTGGGAGGGTTGTTACACCTCGCGCTGGCTGGCGATACCGGCAGAGTATGCATGCATCTTGGCTGTTTGATAGCGAATGGGTTGGTCGTGAAAGAGACCGTGGAATTGCTCTGCGGCTGAAATGTGTAATTCTCTGTGGACGAAAAGCCATGACTAAGTAGTGCTTTTACCAAGGCTATGGTCGAGGGAAGAGCTGTATATCTTCATAAGCCGATAAAAAGCCCTCGGCATACCGCTTTACGTCATCCCCGCACCCGACACGTGACGAACTACTTATAGACTGGATATTCGACAGATTTGGTTCAACGAATTACAGCCTGTTCTTTTAGTTGTATACAATTCCCAATTAGGTGGAATACGACAGATATTTGAATAGCAAACGTGTGGAACTGAATCATTCAATCCCCCAAAGCTTCACCGTACGATCGTGGCCACAGCTAGCAATCCACTTTGCATCGTCGCTGATATCCGTGCTTAGAACGTTGCCCGAGTGGCCGCTCAGCGACTTCACGAGGGACCAGTCATCTGCACTGAAGATGTTGACGCTCTTATCAAATCCGCTGCTCACAAAGAATGTGCCCGATTTCTTGGGCGAGGGCGCTTCCGCTGCTTTATTAACTGCAGCTGGAGCACCATCAATGTCCATGGCGCCATCTGTGGAAGGCAAGAACGACGCAGCCTCTGCGCCCTTGTACCAGCGGAGATCTGATACTACACTCTTATGCGCACCAATCCCACCTGGCTCCTTGTTGTTTCGCATGTCCCAGCATTTGACCCAGCCATCCCCAGAACCAGAGAGCACCCGATAACCATCAACACCCCAGTCCATAGCGTAGATCTCACGAATGTGGCCCTGGAGGAGCATCACGTTTTTTCCTGTCCGGAGATCCCAGATACGCCCGATGCTGTCGAATCCACCAGTAGCCACGAGAGAGCCATCGTTGTTGAATGACACTGCATATACCTCTCGTGAATGACCTTCTTGCAGGAGTAACTCGGTTGCCCTTTCGATATCCCACAGTCGCCATGAATTATCGAAAGATGCCGATGCTGCATATCGACCCGAAGGGTGGAACTCGGTACGGCATACGCGCGCTGTGTGTCCAGATAACGTAGCCAGCGGCTTTTCTTGATCAAGGGCCCAGAGGTTGAGATCTCCTTCGCCGCCTCCGGAGATCAAATTGACACTCGAGGGTGAGACATTCGAGCTAGGTAGAGTGGCACCGGGGAACCATGACAGACCACCCACTCGATCCGTATGCGCCTTGAAAGTCGCTTTTTCTTCGAGATCGGGCACGCCGAGCAATTTGATCTCGCCGCTCCAGTTTCCAGCAGCGATCGTCTGTCCATCCGGCGCGAATCGACAAATGCTGACCGGACGATCGCCAGCAATCTGAGATCCGTAAAGGTCAAATCCCCGTAATTTTTCCTTAACAGCTTTGCGGTGCTTGACATGCGTTCGAAGTGTAATTGTTGATTCGTCCTTGAGCCGGGCCACTCGAGCCTTTGCGCGCGGCAAAGAATAGCACGCAATATCTTTCCGCGCCTCGAGTAAATCTTGCCCACCATCTGTATAGAATTCTTCTTGTTGCTCCTCGACCTCCTCGTCCGCTTCTTCCATTTCTATTTCGACTCCGCCTTGTGTCTCCGCCATGTCGGTCAACAATTCACGTAGACGATCGCGACGCTCTGCTGGTCCTTCGCCGAATAGCGTAATGGGTTCCCCGAGCTCTCGTAGTCGTGCGCGCACTCGTGTGTCATCTGTTGGAACCACCATCGCTGCTGCTCTGCGTTTCCGTTCGAATTGCGATAGAATGGCGGAGGCCCGCTCTGTTGGGATACCCCCTGCAGTAGAGGGCATATCATAGTCTTGGTCCATTGCTATATTCTATTAGTAGGCTTCAACCAAAAGCTGGTTGATAACGACTTACGAAGATCGGCATAGCTGACGCCCATATCTGTGTCCTCCGTCTCCTCGACATAAGCCTGTCGCGAGGGGTGCATCATTTTGGGCAACTTAGAAGCTTATGCTTCTCTAGTAGTTCAATGGGCAAATTAAATAAGAAAAGCTTTACGCTTGGGTGTAAGAAAAGAATTGGGGTATCGCGTAGCGAAGCGAAAACAAAAAGGTTGGCGGGAGAAGATGTTGCGGGCGGCAGAATTGATAGAGGTTGGCGGTATAGTACTGGAGAGCATACAAGTTGACATCTGATCCAATTATGGGAGCATTCCACTACATGTTAGAAGAGTGTTTGAAGACCTTGTCTTGATTTGTCTTGTTTTCTTCCTGCATCCAGCCCATACCTGTACAGTTTAACCATTTCTGCCTGAGCAATCTGGCATCAACGAAAAATCAATGACGCCAGGCGGTCGGGGCGATAAGGATCTTATCCGGCTGCGATTCATACAGCTCCTTGATTTTTGGGCTTTTTTTTTATTTCTTTCTTTATACCTCATTGTTTTGTACCTTGTTCCTCTCGCTCGAAAATAGGAGCCCGCTTTCCAGGGAACCATATATAAGCCTCTAGACCTGCGATGATCCCGCCAAGTCTTTCGTGTAGAGCCTGCAGTTCAACCTGCAGTAGCCTACAAGCCATTGTTCGAGATGGCGTCTTTTCAATCTCCACCAATCCGAACACATACACACCCTCATTGTTCAAAAGCAAACATGTCCGCTTCTCGTCCCACACCACAAGAGTCAGAATAGACACCCGTCTAAGCCTGAGTCTAACCCGCCAGCCCTCCCGCCGGGCCTTCCACGCAACCCCAACAACTAATTTCGAAAAACCCTCAAAACTCTCTTACCGCGTCGCTGTCTCCTCCTCTGGCAAAGGTCGCCGTTTCCACCCTATTAAAAATGCATACAACTTCGACCCAACCGGAGACGCCCTAGGCGTCTTAAAGGACAAAAACTCCGTCAGCCGTCGGCGCAACCGCCCAGACTCAGGCGAAGACGCCTTCTTCGTCTCTCGCATCGGAAACCGCATCTCAGACTACCAAGACACAAACGCCGAAGCGGTCGCCTTCGGCGTCGCAGATGGCGTAGGTGGCTGGACAGAATCCCGCGTCGACCCTGCAGACTTCTCCCACGGCTTGTGTAACTACATGGCGCACACCGCGCAGACTTGGCATGAGCCCGCCGAGCGCTTACGCCCCAAAAATCTTCTACAGGCTGGGTACGACCAGGTTGTGGCGGATTCTACCATCCGCGCAGGTGGGAGTACGGCGTCTGTGGGCGTCGCGTTGCCGGATGGACGGGTTGAATTGGCCAATTTGGGTGATTCAGGCTCGGTATTGTTGAGGAAGGCTGCGGTGCATCATTACTCGGTTCCGCAGACGCATGGCTTCAATACCCCGTACCAGCTCAGCGTAATCCCGCCCCGTATGCGCGCCCAGGCATCTGTCTTTGGCGGGGCGTTTTTGGAAGACTTCCCCCGTGATGCGTCCGTTACCAATGTGCAGATGCAGCATGGGGATGTGCTTATCATCGCCACCGATGGCGTTTTTGATAACCTCAATAATCAGGATATCCTCAAGCTTGTCACGAGCCGCATGGTTATGACTGGGGCCTGGACGGCTACCGAGTCTGGAGTTGGGGTCTCGGAGAACCTGCGTGCGTTGGCTGCGCCGGGTGGGTTGGTCGATGCCCTTCCTACCCCGACAGGCTCGCCGCTCTCCAAGGACCCGGCTAACACCGAGTCCGGACCTGAGGATGGAGTCACGTTGCAGTCTGTTCTCGCCGCAACGATTGCTGGCGAGGCGAAACTTGCTAGTGTCGACTATCGCCGTGATGGGCCCTTTGCTAAGGAGGCTCAGCGCTACTATCCCGGTGATTATTACCGCGGCGGGAAAGTTGATGATATCTGCGTTGTGGTTGTCATTGCTGTCGATGATAGTGTTGCTGCGGATATTGCCTGATTTGGACAGGAAAGCTGGAGATCTTATGCCGGCTTCATAGTGTTTCCCTTTGTTTCCAAGCATGGTGTATAGCTACATGCATATGTATAGAAGGCGTGAGGATTTTTGATTTTGCAAAGAGGCACACAAGCATTTCATGCTTCTCCGATACCTTGACGATATTCAGATAGAGATTTTATAGAGACGACCGAACTGAACTACATGTTTTTCGACTTTTTCAGAGGATTACATATATATTGTTTACTGATTTACCAAACGGCCATTATGAATTCTTGTATTCAAGAGCTCAATACATGCAGAGAAGACATATTATCTTCATTACGTATCCTTGACCTTTCTGTTCATTTCCATGGCATAACGCAACCCTCCAATACTCTTGAGCCCGAGGTGACCTCGATAGTCAGATTGAACATCAGGGGAAAATCCTAACTCCCATGCTCCATGGCCAGAACACAGATGTGCAGAAGCTTTCAAAACAAAGGAACAATCACATTTTCAATTGATTCAAAGAAGCCTCGCTGGTTGGTCCAGCCCCGTATCCCAGTATTGCATTGGCAAGTGACAAAAAAGAGAAAAAGAAACAAACCGGCAGAATCGCGTAGATTGAAACAGAGACAAAGAAGAGAACATGAATGAGAGCGCAAATGAATAAGAGTAAGAAAAATAGACGTCGCAGAGTCGTGATTCTTAAACCACTTAAGCATCCTCGGACTTCTCCTCGGACTTCTCGGTGGGCTCCTCAACTGCCTTGTCCTCCTCGGGCTTTTCTTCCGTCTCAGGCTCGGGGGCCTTCTGGTCTGCGTCAGGCATTGGGGAATCAACATCCTTTGTCGACTTGGATTCGGGCTCCTTTTCTTCTTCTGTCTCGAGCTTGGGAGTTTCGACGCCATCCTCCTCCTTGGAGCCGTTAACGGCAGGCTTTTCATCCTTGTCCGCCGGGCCAGGAGTGTCCGCGTCCAAGATATTCTTCCAGCTAGACAAAATGTTCATCGCACGGTGACGGAAGTTGAACTCCTCGTCCCGGGGAATCGAATTGAGCTTGACAATCATCTTGAGGACTTTGTTAATCTTGGTCGAACGGATGATCGACACCTCCAAATCCGAGTGCTTCTCCAACTTGTCAAAGTAGCTAGCCATATTGGCCATTTCATCTTCCTTGGGGGGTTGGTCGCGGGAGATGAAACCCTTCTGGAGCTTGTGACGGAGGAACAAAACTGTAAGGTATAAGCTGGCCTGATCGGACTCGTCGGGGGTGAAGGGGGTTTGCGTACTCTCTTTCTCCTTCTTCTTTCTCAGCTCCTCTGGGTCAATGGGCTTTTCAGATTCCTTGGCATCGGCACTGTCTCCTTCCTCGCTGGCAGCGGGAGCAGCCTTGCCCTTCTTGGCGGGAGCCTTCTTGGCCTTGCTGGCTGGGGTCTTCTTTTCCTCGGCGGGAGCCTTAGGAGTGGTCAACTTCAGCTTTGTGTTGGACTTGGGTGTCTTAGCGGGCTATAATGTTGTGAGATGAGCGAGGCCAACATCAGACTGATCCTATATTACATACCTTTTCCGCTTCGGCATCGGTCTCAACGTCCTTCTTGCGCTTCTTAGAAGGAGCCTTGGACTTCTTAGAGTCATCCGCGTCCTCCATTTCAATGTCAGTTTCGGCACCCTTACTCTTGCGCTTGCCCTTCTTGGCCTCCTTTGCGGCCTTGGCAGCTGCCTTCTCCGCTTCCTGGGCTTCGAGCTCAGCCTCTTCCTGGTCAATAGCTGCCTGGTGATCGTTCAGGAGCTTCTTGAAGTACTGGAGGTTATGGCCCTCGGATGCAACCTTGTAGGCATTGATCAGCGATTTGGTTTTATTCTTCTCGGAGATGTCTTTGCATTCGGCAGGGTCGAGGGGGGTCAAGTTGGTATTGGGAACCCAGGCGCTGTCAAAAAAAAGTCAGTAGGAAGTTTGCGTCGGGCGTGGAGGCCGCGCGGATGTCGACTTACAATTCATTAGTCTCGAAGAACATGACGGGGAAGGTACGTTCATGGGCGCGTCTGCCACCGTCACCATAATCGCCTTTGTAGGATCCATCCTTTTGCATGGCGGTAACGGGACGGGTTTCGAGCAGGCTGGGAGGCAGAATGTCCTCGTCACAGATGATAGCAGGCCAGGGCGCATAACTGCGCAGGCGGGCAAGGTAAGTTTGGCCCGGCTTAGCGTCTAGGTGGGTGATGCGGCTCTGGGACTTCTTGCGGTTCAGCTTCTGGGTAGCACCGGTGGAGGTGCGGCGGTTCTTGGAGGACTTCTTCGCTGAGGCAGGGGTTCCGTTGGCCTCCGCGGGCGCAGCAGCCTCTGCATCGGCAGGTGCAGCTTCGGCAGTTTCACCATCGGCCTTGGCCTCGGGAGCCTCGTCAGAGGGAGCAGGTTTTTCAGCCTCGGCTTCAGCGTCCATCTTGTCGGTCGCAGCTTCAGGCTCTGGAAGAAACAGTGGGTTAGTGTCGCACAAAAATAGGATGTCCCGACCGGGGGACAGCGTTGAGAAAGGGGGCGCAAAATGATGAATTGCTATCAATCAGTCCATACTTACCGACAGGCTTGTCTTCCGACACAGTCACATCCTCAGACTTCTTCTCGGAGTCAGTGGGATTCTCAGCAACGCGCTCGGGCTGATCACCCTCGGGGGCAGAGACAGGGATATCAGCCATAATGGCAAGCTGTGATGAGATGAGTTGCAAGTCACTAAGCGATTGGTAGATTGAAGCTGGGATAGGTGGAGGAGGAGCTTCCAGGGGATGGTTGGAGGAGATGTGGAGAAGAGAGAGAGAGTCGCGAAAGGCGCGGGAACTTCAAAGACGCGTCTGAGAACGGAAACCCCAATGACGCCACGCCTTTTCTTCACCCACAACAAGAGTTGTGTTATAAATCAGAGATTATTTGTTTCGCTTTAAGATATGAACACTCTGATGATTTGGACAATGCAGGAGAGAGTTGCCCAATGCACAGAAGGGGGGGTCTCTGAATAGTTACCTGGAGTCGGTCACAATAGGCGCTTTGAGGTCTTTGAGATCTTTGAGGTCTTTGAGGTCACGACGGGAACATTTAGTCATTCAAGGTGTCATGGAATAGAGTCAACTCCCTGATAGGAAGTGGCGCCTGGGGTGAGATTGCCTGTGATGGCCTTGGATTGCTTGGAATTGCCGTATCGCAGATGGGCAGAGATATAAAGCGAAGGAACGACCCTCTTCTCGGATATCTTCTGATGTTTCACTGGCAGATTGATGGCATCCACTGACGTCTCTCTTCCAAGGCTTTATACCTTCACAACCACCGTATAGCTGGCACGGCACAAAAGCAATTGGCAATAGGTGATTGGTGATTGGTGATTGGAATGCGGAACTTTTGTTTGTCTTTGAGTATTGTTCAATCTCACATTCATTGCTCCATAGTATATGCCACTGCGAAGTACCCAGAGACGTGTATAGCTCGAACAATCACGATATTCAGGGTATGGCTGGGGCACGAGTAGATGTACCTGGCATTCTTCAGGGTTAGATCCTTTCAACTGCAAATTGATCGATTCAAACCAGACGAGGTAAGAAAAAAGTGACCTGTTCCTTTTCCTATTGCCACACTCAGAGCTTGTTACAGCTGGTGACATTCGCCTCCAGTCGCAAGTCGCAAGTGCAAGTCAGTGATCAACATATAGATCGAAGTATGCCAACAGAATGCTGTATTGAATGCTTCGAGAAGGTGGTGCGCAATTATCTGTAGGCAGAGATCGTAAACCCCAAGGGTCGGAAAGCTTGCGACTTGGTGCATACCTCGACGTGATCTCACGTTGTTACCTCGTGCCGGCGTCGGTGATGTTACCGGGGACCATGTTTCAATACGTGATATAGCACATCAGTATTGGATAGGCTGGGGACAAGGTTGTACTTGGGGAGAATACGAGGGACAAATGAAATCAGTTGCAATGGTGTGTTTTCATTTCTAAACGCATCTGAACTTCTATTGTAAGCGCAATCCCCGGATGATGCGATTTCATGATTTCGTTCTTTTTTTTTTTCCAGATCTGAGAGTCTTTCTAGAGGGATTCTTATATTCTAGATCTGAAAGAGATGAAGTTTGCGTGAGTCATTTCTTTTTGTCTTTGTTACATGCTATCTAGATGAAGAATCCCCCAAAGCTTTGTTAAATCTCCCTCCTACAGATCTGGCCAAATCAAAGAAAATCTGTTTGTTTTTGGTCAATCTCTAGAGTTCTTAATTATGAGAGACAGGAAGCTCGGATATTTATGCGACACCAAGAGGAAACCTCAAAGGACTCGGAGTTCACCCTAAGATAGGGACATACGAGTATGAAGCTTAATTAGGGCATTGAATATTGTACATATAGAGGGAAAAAGCCAAGTCTAAGATGTGGCTAGGGTCAAAGATAAATAGGTTCGCGCCATCTATGCTGCCGATGAACAGGGCTCGCTTGATAACAAAGCCCATCGAGATCATACGAGTCCAGACTTGAATTGGGTAGTGATTTGTTTCTCGTTATTGCACAGCTGTGCCACGGAGGCCAGTAACAAGAATTCATTGACGAGCAACCCCGAGGCGATCGTGTTACATTAGGTCTGTTGTTGGATCCATTCTCAGCTTGTCTGGTAGGCTCTGGAAGAAGGTCTCTTGCATAAACATATTAATTAGCCTAGGTACAGGAGGAGACATTAGGATACGCGTTGACCGAAAGATAATAATGCGTCCATATACACAGATTATAAACCAGAGGTCTGGTTGGGGTTCATACAGGGTATCAAGTTCTAAAACAAAGACGCTGATTCCAAAGTCGAATCATGAAATGCCAAACCCTGGTCAGTGGAGTGGACTCAAATGCCACGTTCCAGAGTACTTTCACTCGCGTAGCCCTCTTCGGTGACATCAAGAAGTGACGGTTCCGGTTTGTGAATTCGAACGAGGCAAAGGAAGTAGTCTTCCAGTGGCAAGAGATTGAGCAACACCCCATTGAAATACCACCCCAAGGCACACACCACAGCTCCCGCGACTGCATCGAGAATAAAATGGTTGGCCGTGGCAACGATAGCTACCAGGATGGTAAATGGATATAGGAAGCCAAGTATGACACAAACAAGGCGGTGCCACGATGGGAGTTCCAGTCTTAGGCTGCGGGTCAGCCTGGTACGCAGGATTGTGTGCCGGTGGTGCTGTGGTAGAGGGATTGTTATCAATGTGAGGCCGATCATTAGAGAGTAGCCAAAATGTAAGGAAGGCATTGCCGCTTGGTCAGAGTCAGTCAAGGATCTGTGAGAATTCGGGTTGGACGACACTTACCATATTGATTACAGAAGCGATTTTCCGTCCAAACACTGCCCGATCCATTAATGCCATGCACCGTATCCACAAAGCCATAACTGCGGGCTAGATCCGCATCTTGGCCATCAGCAGTTGTGTCACTTAGTAACCGAGGCGGCATGCAAGGCCAAAGAGTGAAAACCACAAATGCGAGAAGATTGCACACGGCCAATGTTCGCCGACGCGCCTGGTATAGAAGAGGACCTGCAGGCGATCCGCTCGTGGCTCCCTTGGGCTTTCCGGGCTGGGTCTCATCGATCCGATTCCGCACGGTAGTATAGTAATAGAGCCAGACGAGAAACGCGATTGTTCCAGGAATGTGTATAAAGGAGTATATCCAATTGATCCAAGACATAAGAAGGGGGCGGTGAAGGTAGTGACTTTGAATCGAGGTTTCCCAGAACATACCCAACTTCTCCTCGATCACGATTAGTTGCAATGCATGTTTCCTCGCAACATCGACGGTGTCGTCCTTCAGCGTCACGGCGGTAAACGCGCGACCGAGCTGGTATGTCTGCATAAACTGTGAGCTTCTCACCTCTTCCCTGTTGCGGAGCCATGGGTGGGATAGGGTGAACGGTATAAAGAGGAATCCCTCAATCCAACAAGCAAAATCAGAGATCGGACCTACCCAGTAAACCAAGGCCCAATACCAACATTCCACTAAGAAAGGAAACTTTCGAAGTAACCGACTGAGCAAGCGGTCTTGGAAGACAATAGTATTTGGCGAGGACACCTCAAAGGTCACACCCAGGAGTCCAACCTGTCGCTTGTGCCATCGATCTTCCGCTTGTGGTGAATGAGACCGAGAGCGCAGTAAGCCATCCTTTGTCGATTGGCTCGAGTATCCCGACTCCAAGGAATCAGATGAGGCTCGTCGAAGGTTTGAGTTCCGTCGAGTGTTGTACTTAGTCGAGGATCCCACAGAGCGGTTAATCCAAGTACCTCCAAACAAGAGAACAATAACCACCAACGGTTCTATGACCGCCCCGGCTCCCATGATGAGTATAAACACAGGTCCTAGTCCCTTAGATACCGTTTTCCGCACAAGAAAAAGGGAAAAGCCCTAATAGGTCGACCAAGTAGTACCTTAAGAATGAGGGGTGGATATGTTGATACTTGGGAGAAGGGGGGGGAGGAGGGAGGAGGACCTTTTCAGAATCCCAATGTCCACGGCAGGTGCTGTGTGTGAACAAGTACTAGGCAAGGGCGGGTGTCACCGGAATACTGCATAAAATTGTTTTCCATTTGCTTTTTATACATGAACATAATGGCCAAGAGCTGTTGGGGAGCTATACGAAGTACGAATGTACGGAATACGGAGGTACATGTGATGTATTACCAGATTAGCACATTTTAATGCCCAAGACACACAACTTTTTCTTTTAGTAATAAAAGTATTGAGTACACGCATTTTATAGGCAGATCTCGTACTGTGGGAAGTACCCGGTACTCCGTACAGCCAGGCATAAGTTTCTGCACCTGCCCCACAAGGCTGGCACCTGCCCAGCTGTGGGCACCCGATTACATAACATTCCGCCCGCAAAATAACGACACTCCTACCTATCTATATACATATATACGAAGTAGAAAAATATCAGTTCTCATACATATCATAGAGATAACGGTTTCGAGGTTTAGAACTAGAGAAGCCCTTTTCCTGGAAAGTTAGGGCCTGGTAATTCAGACCGGTTCAAAACATCTACGGTCTTGTAAACTAAGTGGGACCCGTGCAAAGGCACCTTGGACCTCGGAACTCTCCCTATCTCGACTCCCGAGACGGAGTCTCCGGTATCCGAGCCGCTAGGTGTACTCTGTAGACTCCTTTGAGTTCGTATAGTTCTTCCCGAGGTCTTTACTAGGAAGTTCCCAATAATTCGATTGTAAAGAATCAACTTGGAAGATAACTTAATGATGCAATCTATACGTGTGCTATGGTTTTCGATGAAATACGTTTGACGTCAATCCATTTCCCATACATAATCTGGAGGCGCAGGGCGGCGCGACCACTTCAACAACCGCCTAGATATGTTCTTGATGAATCCCCTTACCGGGCGTGTCATTAGCCGCACCTCATCACAGGTCATTGCGTGGTCAAAATCCAGGCTATTTTCTACCACGTCGAGCATATATCAAGAAGTCACTCTTCTGCAAGATAAGCAAAATGGCTTTGGTTTCGCGCGATCCAATCCCAGACCTGCCAAGCCCAGAACAAAGGGGGTCACGGAGATCCGAGGCCCCTACTACTCGGTGGGTATTACTCCGTACTCCGTATATCGTATATTACCGGTCGCCCTGAAACCTAACCTCAATCAGGTCATGGGCAAAAGATATCTCGCAGATATCCTCGAGACGTAAGATTCTACAACAAACCCCCAAATAATTCACCAAATGACATCTGACAATCACTGAAAAGGATGGGCGACCATGTAGATGGTCTCAAGTTTGCCGGAGGTGAGCCCCGCCCAATAGGGCTTCGGTCCTCGTCAAGCTTGGCGGCGCTAAGACAAATCAGGTGCTTTTTCTCTCTTTCATGAGAAATCCCTACGGGAATTGGTGGATCTTGCGCATGAGCATGGCGTGTACATCTCAACGGTAAGACTGTCTCAGACTAACAAATTAGCGCCTTTGAGAGCATATTCTTGACACAGGGTTCCATCTTTTTAGGGTGGATGGGCTGAACATCTCCTCACACACCCCGATCCGAACACGGTATTTGACCGCTACTTGAAAAAATGCAAGGATCTCGGGTACGTGCATTCTCAGTAGTCCGAAATATAAAATCTGACTGGTCAACATAGACTTGATGTCATCGAACTATCTTCCGGTTTTCTGTCACTCCCAGAGGATGACTGGCTCCGTCTGGTTGATAAAGTCCACTCATACAAGTTGGAACCAAAACCTGAGTTAGGGATTCAATTTGGGGCCGGTGGAGACACTCCTACCTCGGGACTGGAAGCGATTGGGACCTCTGATCCGGGAAAATTGGTGAATTTGGGTCGTAGATTCCTCGATGCCGGTGTGAAACGGTTGATGATTGAGTCAGAAGGTATTACTGAGAACGTTACCTCCTGGCGGACTGATGTAGTGTCGAAGATCATGAAGGAGCTTCCTCCGGAGCGGGTCATGTTTGAAGCTGCAGATCCCAAGGTCTTTAATTGGTACGTCCGCGAATTTGGGATTGATGTCAACCTGTTTGTGGACCACAGCCAGATTGTGCAGTTGGAATGCCTGCGGACTGGCATCTGGGGCACTGCCGACACTTGGGGTAAGATAGTGTCATTCCGGCCATGATCTTCGAATGGATTTGGACTTGAAGTGCATTTCTTATTGTCATATCAATGTATCAAAGTATTATCCAAAGTTGTGATTCGAAGTCCATGTGTATATTGAGCTCGAGAGGTGGGATAAGCGGCCGCTTAGTCACATTGTGGAGTCCGGGGCATGCAAACGCCCGCACTTGGTGATCTTCAACATTAGATTCAGCCTTAGCGATGGCTTGAATCAGTCTAAATAGCGCCCGGCTCAATCGGTTCGGTCACCTTACGCCCCCGATGACGACCAGTGGAACCCTGAACAAGTGACTCGACCTATTCACCGAGCGAGCGCGGCGATCGGGATGCCTCGGGCCAGCACTACCCCGGGAGCACGGCTTCGATGCCGGCGAGCCTGCGACAGCTGTAAAAGGCGAAAACAGAAATGCAACGGTGAACAACCATGTACAATATGTGTTCAGAGGCACAAAGAGGCGGAATGTCATTTCTCGGATCGACCTGCACGCCTACTCAAGCCAGATCCCAAGGACTCGACAATGTTGCTCAGCGAGCGCGTGACAACATCTCCTCAGCGCGAAACGGCAATGGAACGCCTTCTGAACTCTCTAGAAGATCAAGGAATGAATATGGAACGCCAGGAAAAGGACGAGAAGGAAGGGACGGCTCCCGTGCCAAAAGTAGCGCGGCTTCTGCGCGACGGCCAGGGAAAGTTTATGTATATTGGTGATTCGGCAAGTTTGTCGTTTTTACAGAATTTGCGACGTGTCGTACTGTCTTCTATTGGCCGATGTGAGTTTACCGAGGACAACTCGCGACACTCAATGCTCGAGGCGTTTCAAAGCAACCCAAGCACTCAGCCCGGAGCTCTAGTTACACCACCAACCAACGACGAAGCCCAACGATTAGCTCGTCAGTTTGTGCTCGCCACAAGCCCATTGCTTGACTTATTCGATTTGGAAGAGTTCCATCCACGGCTGGCTAATTGGGTTGCAAACCCGTCGGGTGACGAGGATACCGTTAGCTCTATCTTCTATCTCGTCCTTGCAATTGGAGCTCAGGTCTCTGATATTGATCAGACGGTGGCTGAGCAATATTTTGGCAGCGGCCGTCAACTAGCTTTCTCGGCATTTCAGGAAACCCCCAGCATACACACAATTCAATCATACATTTTGGTTTCCATGTATATGCTCGGCGCATGCAGGCGCAATGGTGCATTTATGAATCTGGGTGTTGCTTTACGTGCTGCATACGCAGTAGGAATTCATCGCAAGGACGCAAACGCGCTCTTTTGCGGGCGTGAGCGCCGAGCGAGGGAGCGAGTCTGGAAGAGTCTTCGGATGATGGACCTATTCCTCAGCGCCTCCTTGGGACGCCCTCCCGCGACTTCAGACTATGACCATGATATACGTGAAGACACTCTTATATCAGCGGAATCACAACCTCGTTTGACCGTAGATCAACAAGTTTCTGCTGCGGTGATCTCTCTTTGTCGAATATTCGAACGGATCTTGACCGATGTGTACATGAAGCAAGTCATATCAATCAATGTTGCCGAGAAGGTCTCCAACCAGCATCGGGCTTGGGTTCGCACTCTACCAACAATCCTCAAAATGCAGACCGAGCGGCTCGAAAACAAATCCATGGAGAACAGCCTAGCTGCAGCTCATGTGTTCGGGTCATATTACTGGTCTATCATCCTTTTGACACGGCCGTTCCTCATATACCGTGTCGCCCAGTATGTCAAAGGCAAACCTGATTCATCCTCCGAAACTCGAAATGGTAGCTCCCGAGTGTCCTTGTTCGCCGATGCATGTGTCTATTCCGCCCTCCGAGGCCTAGACGTGGTCGATGATCTCCGCCATTATTCCTCACTTCCACGACGACTACCCTTCTTGATCAACTCTGTCTTCAACTCTGTCATCGTCCTAGGCGCTGCATGTTTCGCCGACTATGATAATATCCTCCCCTTGGAAGAGGGATTGAATAAAGCCGAACGGTTCCTAGGACTATTTGTCCCGCACGACCCACACGCATGCCGTTTCTTTCAGATCATCAAATACCTTCGTGCTGCTATAACCGAGTATGTTTCCCGGCGAAATAAACAATGGATGAATAGGCGCAGCAAACAGGTTGACCAGCTCTTCGGTCAAGTCGGTGGCGACGAGGATCGCAACTCCCCAGATGCTCCGCCTTTCACCGGTCCAGGTGATATTCACCCATCTGCACCTGCAACTGCACTTTCTCCTACCTCCCCTGGCAAAACACCCGCTGGCACTTCCTACATCCCCTCCGAACCACTCCCTCAACCTCAATTCTCAACCGACAACGACGTGTGGGAAGCCCTGTGCAATGGCTCAGACCCCACTGCAGCTTTGTCCTATGATGCAGCGATTTCTGCGTTAACCACCTCGGGAATTCCGGTGGGCTGCTCTCCTGGCGGGACTATTCCTTCCGGTCCACCCCCGGTGTCCGGCCCATCCCCGCTTTCGGACGTGATGTTCCCCGATAATGGTCTGTTGTATATGGCTGAGGATCTTCCGGTCTTCGGCATCTGGGGGGATGAGCCGTGATTACCCAGGCTGGAATTTTATTTGAAAGATTTAAGATGACATCGAAAGTGGGTGTACTGGCCCAGGTTTGGTTGCGAGGATGTTTATGATTCAATGACTCACCGTGTATTTTTCTGTGCTTGTATGGTTGGACGTGTTCATTAATATATATACCCCCACGTACCGCACCCAAGGGCGAATTGACTTATTACATGGTATCCCTGCGAAACAGAATCTACGTGAGATAGGTCAAATTTCAGGGCGCGACAAATGACCCAATCGGGACAAGTATACACGTGTCTTTATAGGTACCGTTCAGGCCGGGGTTGTCATTTGGGCAATTTGAGTGCCGCTTTATGAGCGCCCTAAAGGGGCTGCTTATGAGGATGATTGGTATTACGCATAGGGAATCCATTCGTCATATTTAGGGTGCTGCGGAGAAGAGGTTTCCAATCGCGCTTGCGGACATCGTGTAACACTATTAATGTTGTCGGAGTGTAGCTGGATACGACATATAGTCGGTGATTGTCTGGTTTGAATTGTCTGCTAATGAGGAGGCTAGTAGAGCATCGGAGCAAACTGTAGGTGGAGGAAGTTGTAATCAAAGACTACCCAATGAATAGTTCATGTCTGGGGGAGGGAAGATCAAATTCATCGATTTCCTCAACGAAGAGACGTGTCAAATGAAGGACCAGGAAGAAGAAATAGTATGAGGAACTTTACAATCATGGCCAATGAAATAGTGAGCTCCCGCCGCAGGCAAGTCACAAGGGGTGGCTTGTATCGCTGTTGGTACAGAATCAAGGTGGAAGATAGCAAAGGCGTATAGTTATGTGCAGGTCACTGGTGTTGGCAGTCATCTTATAGACAATATATGCTATATATACAAGATCCAAGAGCGTATCTGCATGAATTCGATAAAAGCGGCCAGGGAGAAAACCGAATGAACGATATCCCTATACGGATAATAGCTACATGAAGTGTACGGGGGTATACATATTAAATATGATATGTATAGATCTATGTATATATATATATATATATATTACGCCCCTAATGGATGTGTCTTTTTCCACTCTCAACCTCTTCTTTATCCTTCAGCATGGTATTAATCGTCCACTTGGTGATCTTCACGATCATTCTAGCAGTCATTCTGCGCGCTTACAGAAACAAAGCCAATCTACCCCCAGGACCGAAGGGCAAATTCCTCATTGGGAATTTGTTCGATCTTCCCTCGGCAGGAACACAGGAATGGCAGCATTGGCTAAAGCACAAAGACCTCTACGGTATTGTCTCACCCATTGTGTTTGAACAAAGACTGAACCTCGCAGGTCCCATCAGCTCCGTCACCGTCCTTGGCCAAACACTCATTATCGTCAACGATCGAGATCTGGCGTTCCAAATCCTAGAAAAGAATTCTATAAAGCATTCATCACGACCACACCTCGTCTTTGCCCATGACCTGTGCGTTTTGAATATCTAGTCTTTCTTGAGTCTTATATATACTGAATGGAATGGACAAAGAGCGGGATGGGGTAATCTACCACCTAGCCAAGACAACACACCCCTTCTTCGATCTTATCGCCGTGCAATCACCAGAGTGATTGGAACAAGAGAGTCTGCGGCCAAATTTAATGGTTTTCTCGAATTAGAGGCCAGACGGTTTGCATACCGGGTTCTGCATGCGCCGGAGAAGTTCATTGATCATAACCGGACGTGAGTATTCGGTATCTTTGGGAGATCGTTGCTTATACGAATATAGCGCTTCTGGTGCTTTCATTTTGAATGTTACATACGGTTATCACGTTGGACCTAGTGGGGAAGACCCATTGGTACGCCTGGCCAATCTTGCAGTGTGGCGGTTCGCCGAAGCCGCCGTGCCGGGTGCGTGGCTGGTTGATTTCATCCCGGCCTGTAGGTCCCCTTACTTTCGAAGGAGTGGGGTCGTACACTGCTAATTTGCTCTGGATGCAGTGAAATATGTCCCGGAATGGATGCCCGGGGCTAATTTCCAGCGAGTTGCCAAAGAACACCTTCGAACTATCACGAGATTCGCAGAGAGTCCAGTTGCATTTACCAAGTCTCAAATAGACCGGGGTAAAGACAGACTGTGTTTTGTTTCGACGCTTCTCCGACAAGGCGAGGATGAAGAAATCGTCAAATGGTCAGCGGCAGCAATGTATGGCGGGGGATCGGATACGGTATGTTCCTCACTGTCATGTGCATTGCTTCTACTCATACCAGCAAGACTACTGCAATTCTAGAAGGCTTCTTTTTGGTCATGATGCTGTTCCCGGATGTGCAACGTAAAGCCCAAGCCGAGATGGACGAGCTGTTCGGCAAACCTACGTTGCCATCGGCGACCGATCGAGAAAGGCTGCCGTATGTGAATGCTATCGTCAAGGAAGCTATCAGATGGCATACTGTCGCGCCCATGGGCATCCCTCACAAAACGGACGAAGACGATATCATCAATGGGTATTTGATTCCTAAAAACGCAATCATTCTCCCGAATATATGGTATTCTCATCCACACTCATGTTATCTTCGCTGTGTTCACGTATATCTAGGGCATTCAACAATGATCCGACGATATATCCCAATCCCCGGGAGTTCCGACCCGAACGATTCCTCTCCGAGCCAGCTGCTCTTGAACCAGAAGATGTGAGCTTCGGTTTCGGTCGCAGAATTTGCCCTGGACGGTTGATTGCTGAAACTTCCATCTTCCTTACGATTGCACATACGCTGGCCGTCTTCGAGATCAAAAAGCCTACAGAAAATGGTCAAGAAATCGAGCCGAATGTCTATTGTACACCAGGCCTTTTGAGCCATTTCGATCCTTTCCATGCCATTCTTACCCCACGCAGTCAGCAGCATGAACAGCTCATTGTGGATTTCGAGAAAGAATTTCCCTTTGAAATGGGCGATTCGGAGGTCTTGGCAGAGGTCTATCATTAACTAAATAGGGAAAATGATACGTCCTCTACTTTCCACTCTTCACTTTACGTCTACGGTGTTCTTGTTACCGTATCTTTTTTCTTTTTCTTTTCTTTTGATCATATTATGCCAGGTGTCCCATCTAGTAGAGGATGCGAATCCTGCCGAAAATCGAAAAAGAAGGTCTGTGTGTCCGTCGGGAGTCGGAATCAACAAGCTGATTGAAACCGTAGTGTGATCAACGACAACCCTGTTCACGATGCATCCGAATGGAGTTACTCTGTGAAGGAAGTGGCAAACAGCGTTATCACTTCAAGCCGGTCAGAGTCATACCTAAACCCAACCAGCCAGCTCACAGATTGTGGAATTCCATTTCCCAAGTCCCTTACAATCAACTAGCCATTCAGTTCATCAAAACCCTCCATATCAGCGATATTCGCTTTGATATCTCGTTTTATGGTCTTTTTTTGCAGGAGATCCCCAAACGGATCGGAGAAAGTGCTGTATTGGATGCTGCCGCACAGGCTTTGGTCTCTTCACATCCCCTTCTTCATCTTCGTGAGAAAGAAGTTCCCCGTCATGTGTTAGTGCTTTTTGGAAAATCTTTGAGGGCACTCAGAGAATGTCTGAATAATCCAATTGAAATCCGATCGCCGCTTACCCTCTGCGCTGTTTATCTCATCTCAATCTGTCAGGTATGATACTATCTACACCTCTTGGGTATCCAGTCGCTAAGCCCGACGGGTTATAGGCTTGGCTGGGGAAATACGAAAAGCAATCAGCCAGCCATGGGACAGCCATCGCATATTTACTCAGGATTGTAGATATCTCCAAGTATAAAGATGGATTCGAAAGAGACTTGATCGTCACGTTGAGTGTGCCGGTGGTAAGTGACCCTTGCGAAACATGAACCTCCCTACTTCACTAATTCGGTCAGATCCTGGACGGAATATGCAATCCCCGGGTACAAATGTCTCCGAGCTTCTGGGACGACGTGATGGCTCTCATCCAGCAAGGTTCCTCCACAGCTCGGGAGAGTATTCCACGACCAAGCACAACCCTACTGTCGCTTTCAAAGTTCCCAGAATATCTTCATCAGCCGCGCTCTCATCACCTCGAGATTCTTGAAGCATATATGAGACTCCAAGCAGACGCACAGAACATCTATCCGTATCTAGACCAGCTCGTGGTGCCAGCTGCCCCTTCCTCCCCGGTCATTGGTCAACGACCGCGTCATCGAGCAGCATACACCGTGATCGTTGCTTTAGCACTTCTTTTAAACACTATTCTTCGTGCACTGGATTCAGAAAACGTCATGCTCACCCACGAGTCGACAGTATTTTGCGAGAGAATCATCAACGAGGCTGAGGCGGCTTCCAGTTATCGTCCGCTGGGTGCTGCTTATGTTGTGCCATGTCTGGTCGTGGCATTGGGTACTGCAGACGATCCAGGGCAGCTGGCTCGCATCAAGGCCACATTGACCGAATATGAGACTGACTTCCAGGGATTTGAATGGAGGGAACTTGCTTCGTGGCTCAGGGCTGTATTTCGCAGCCACCGTGCACGCGAGCCCCTGATATCCAGCAATGTAGATGCATTAGCTTTCGAGGCTCAGGGAGCTTGTATGACGCAACTGCAAGCTATATTCGGACTGTCTTTCTATTCAGACTGTAGTAAAATCGAATCCCTCTGATAGGGATCACTGATCCTATGTGATTTTTTTCGTTGGCTAAATCCTGAATACTTTGCGCGATAAGACTGGCCTGCTTTTGAGTCGGAATATATCCAATGTCTATTTTCACATCCTTCATAAGAGTTCGATCGGAGTAGTACCTAGAAAGCTTTACTACATGGAGTAGAGGCTTTGAGTAGACTAGGCCAGAATGCCGACACCTGAGCAACTCCATTGGATTATGTTTGAGCTGGTTAGAGAGAGAACAAGAGCCCCAAAAAAAAGTAACCATCCAAACGACAAAAGCAAAATGAGAAAGAGAGGGCATTTACACAAGCGTCATCATAAACAGATTTATATGACAGTAAGCTAGACAATGAAAAATGCAGGATATGAGCGGCCTAATCAGATCTGCCATAGAGCACAGGAAAGGAATATGGATAGCTCGCTAAGTGTTGGGGGGGTTTTGCAGGGGAAAAGGAAGAGGGTTTGTGGCATGGGCTTCGATACGCGCTGCATCAAAACGGGACCAGGATCATGATATGTACACGTGTCGATTCCGAATGCACTGGTTCGAAGAGGCAAGCTGCGATATGTGAAAAGAACATCCTACCCTCAGAATGAGCAAAACGTCAGGCCAACATACGGGGAATTGCCCCAAAAAAAATAAAAACCAGGATTATATACGTCAGTCTAGTATGGACGAACACAGAAGCAGATTAGAAGCCGAACGGATTATTGGGGGCTGTTGTCGAGTTAGTTTCTGTTTCTTCTGTCGCCTGTAAAGGGCAAGGAAACACTTACTGGCTTGCGAAAGGTTGGCTCTGAGTCCAGTCGGTTGCGGCTCAAGCTTCTTGGGGCCATCTGGCTTGACACCGAATCTGATGGAAGGAGGTGGTCCAGTTTTCTGTGGCGACAGGGGAGTGGCTGTTGGCTGCTGGGGAATTGGCGGCACAGGGGGTGGAGATGGGTATGAATGGTTGCCGTAGCCATTGATGCCAGTGGGTTGCGGTTGCAGTGCAGGGGGAAGGACAGAGTTGATACCAGTCTGCATTGGTTGCTGAAGTTGCCCGTATCCACCAAAGCCTGTGGGTTGCGGTCCAAGTCCCTGGAACCCAGTCTGCTGGGGGACCATCTGATTACCATACGGTTGATGCTGCTGCTGCTGCTGCTGCTGCTGGATACCGAATTGGGACTGGGGAGTAAAGGCTGTGGGCTGCGGCATTAAACCATTCTGATATGGGCTTTGACCCACGAATCCTGTCGCCTGTGGCTGCATTGCAGCTTGATAACGCTGCTGGCTCATTTCGCTCAGACTCTGGCCAGGAGGAGCAACCGGAGGGGCCCGCCTGGGGAAGGCCCGTCAATTGAGCCTGCAATGGAGGGGCACCAAAGGAGTTTTGTTGTTGCGAGAAGTTTTGAGGCGCGGACAGTGGACGTTGCGGAGGCGGAGGCAGAAGTGAATTTTGTCCAACTCCTTGAGGCGCCTGAGGACGTTGCCTGGCCTGTGCTTGGAACCCGGTCTGCTGAGGACTGAATCCTTGCTGATGCTGTCCTATCTGTGCCACTTGGGCAAACAAGCTGGGAGTGGCACCTGTTTGCTGGGCCTGTTGTACAGGTGGCGATTGCATGGCAGTGGGTTGCGGCTGTAGGGCAGGCATGGGCGAGGCAGGCTGTGGAGTAGGGGGTTGAGCCGGTGTCGGCTGCAAAGGAGCTTGGAGCAAGGTCAGATCCGCCATTGCCCCTGTTGGCTGAGGAACCTGAGCTGCCACGGGCGGTGGAGTCGGGGTGGTTGCAGATGGTCGAGCAGGCTGCTTCGGCTGCTTCACCTCCCATGCATCATCTTCAAATCCGGCTGCAACAGGCTTTTCAGCTGCCGTAGGGGGTGGTGGGCTCGCCGAGCTATCTGGTGATTTGGGTTCGCCTCCCTGTCCGAACGCTTTAGGATCAACCTCTCCGGCTTGGACGTTCGGTGTTGGTCTGCCCCTGCGAGTGTTGTTGCGCAGCATACCACCAGGTCCAGAGAACAGACCACCTTGCCCTCCATCCTCACCATTGCCAATGAATTCCTCGCCGCCGAAACTGACGTTTCGGGGCTTGGACTTGTCCGGCGTACGACCATATTTAGCATCTAAGACTTTCATCACTCGTAAGGTATCACCCAGGTTCAGACCCAGATTCTGAAGCATCTCAGATGTAAGGTCAGGTAGCACGGATTCATCTATCGCATCCTTGTTGAATGACTGTGCATATCGCTCACAGCGATGTGGACCAACACCAGCCTTAAGGAAGAAGTCAAACCAATCGTAATCGGAACGTTGCACAGAAGCCCCGGTCTTGGAAGCCCCAGATTTGGAATCTTTGTTAATCGCAGCTCGAGGTCGGATGCTTGAAAGAGGTTTGTCCTCATCCAACGAGACACCAGCGACCCTCTCCACATGCTCGAGATCCTCAACAGACATCTTCGAGACCGGAACGGCAATCTTGATACCATTCACCTTGTGGAGCTGGATTTTGCCATCCTGGAGACCTATGAACTGGGCTTCCACTGTGAAGTCCTTGGTCCGATCCGTCCATTTTCGCACTTTAGTTGGATCAGGCTTCGACTTGATTTTGCTGTCGCGCTTGCTGTGACGATCCGATGAATCCATCGAGTCCGTCCGTGTCTTGCCCATCGCAAGTTTGGACAGCCGCATCTCCTCCATCCGGTTCTTCTCCACACTCGACAAACCTGGTTCATTAGGCATCAACGGTGCTTTTGGTATCAATCCTGTGACTTCAACGTAGCTGCTAGGGACAACACCCTCCTTGTTGTTCTTCAGCCGTCGCACCATCCACCACTCTTCGGATTTGGTATCATCAAGGATAACGACTTCGTCACCCACAGCTACTGTAACTTCATCGTCGCCTTGCGCCATGAAGTCATACAAGATCTGGCCCTTCTTTGGACCGCCACCCTCTCCTGCCTCGAGCACCTCACGCAATCCTTCTGCCCGATAGGCACCGGCGATCTCACCGAGTGCCGCTGCAATCTCGTGGGCGGTGTCTTTGGCACCTGCATGGAAATCAATGCTCTTGCTAGGCCTGATAAGATCAACAAAGACGTGCTTTCCTTCAATCGAGTAATGAGTAAGCTTCTCCGCACTCCATTCTTTCTGCCGATCATCACCTTCGGGAGAAATGAAGATGATTCCGGTAGCCATGTTGATTCCCAATGTAGTCGGCATCTTCTTTCTCTTGCCCATAACTTCGACCATCTCGTTGATGTTATAGATATGATAGCCGGAAGGTGACCGAGGCGTCAATTCACCTGCTCGGTTGTAAGGGGGAGATGCTTTGACATGTGTCCCATCACGACCGGTAGCAGGCGCCAGCTGCTGAGGACGGGGTGGCAGACTTGGGTCAGGCGCATAACGGTCTATAGGTGAGGCTGCATGTTCTGACGGTGGTCGACGGGGCAGACTGGGCGGCGGGGACTCCTCGCGGTGCTCTGCTTGATCGTACGATGGCCGGACCGGAAGACTGGGTGGCGGGGGCTCATCTCTGGTCGTCTCGGCAGGGGCATGCTGTTTGTGGATGATACTGGCAATCGCAGCAGCAGCGGGGTTGTGAGACATATCAACCGGAGAGCCGGCGGGCGATGCCTCGGTTTCTTCCGGAGCAGTTTGCGTAGGCCGCTGTGGAAGTGTCGGCGCGGCAGGCTCGGCTCGAGCAGAAGGTGAGGGAGTGACATCAGCTGCAGCGGAGGCATCCTCGATTATTTCGATGTAATTCGATGGCGCAAATCCATACTCCGAATTGGTTCCAACTAACGTCCAATCTGGATCCGAGGTGTCGTACACCATCAGCTCAGCATCTTCTGAGAAGGAAACCTCTTCATCAGTTTGTCGCGTGTAATCGAAGAGGGCCATGGCTCTGTGCGCTGGTCGCACCTATTTCCTTTCTTATCAGCAATTGTTCATGCAGCGAGGCCGTACGGGTGCATCGGCGGAGCTCCGCAGCTTCAACAAGACTCACCTCTTCAACATAGTTGTTGGGGACCAGGCCTTCAGGTTCGTCCTCATCCTCCCGTCCAGCCTTCTTTTTAGCCCTCCACCAGTCATCGTCCGCATTCTTTTCCAATATGTAGAGGAGGTCGCCCTCGCGAATCTCGAGTTCGCCCGCTCCCTGTGGCTGGTAGTCGTACACAGCCGAGTAGACACCGAGAAAACCCATATTGAGAGCAACTTATCAGGGCACCTATCAATTACAACAATCTGCTGCAAATGGCAGCGTCTCAACGTGCCAACTCTAGGTTTCGCAGTGATGTAGTTTGGGGGGATGGACGGATGTAATCGGTGATGCTGGCCGTTGCTCGGTCAGCCTTGGCGCTTAGTGGGCGGAGCAGCGATAAGTCAGGATGCGGATGGGTTGTCGAGGCGCGGGGAGGTAGACAATCTGTCCAGGCGCAAAGGGATTGAGAAGAGAGAGGGAAGAGGGAGGAGGCGGAGGTTGGATTAGGGAGAGGGCGGGAAGGTGGGCCAGATAGGAGTTGAGAGTCACGTTGCCTTATTCTATGTGATTTGGACATTCTCTTCAATTGCAGTCTTTGGCGTTTAATTAATTAATTCTCTTCTTCTGGCCTTATTGCTTTCGTACTTGAACTCTCCTATCTCTCCGGCAAACTACAACTTTGCTACCCAAAGTTGCCCCTCGGCTCCATGAGGGCAACTGACAGCCATCTCCGAAGTACAGGCGACAATATATCACTTTTGGTTCTTCACTTCTATATTAGGCAGAGCTAGACTTATGTGGGATTGCAATCAGACCGTTTTACCCTTCCCCGGATAATAGAAAAACATACATGAATCATTCATATAAAACTTGAGAAGGAAAACATATCAAAATGTACAAGATCTACTATACAATATCATAGTTCATCTTTGAAGGTCTCCTCACTTCCCTCGCTGTTTTCAGGCTTGTTTGAAGATGGCTTTTGCTTTTCGACTGACTCTGTTTCCTGCTTCGGCTTTTGGCCAGCGGAATTTTCAGACACCTTCTTTTCGTGTGGTTCCGACGACTTATCGTTCCAAGTATCTTCCTCGTCCTCTTCCAGAACGCCTTGGAACTTGATCACGCCGTTGCTTTCTACAACCTCCAACGTCCAGTCTTTGCCATCTGCTTGTTCTTCCAATAGGTTCTTCATCTCTTCCAGTTTCTCCGGGTCGATGTCGTACTTTTTCAGAACTTGCTTGGACATTTTCCGGATTTCGCCATTCTCGCGTTTCGCAACCACCTCCACTCGTTCCTCGCCTGCGGATGCCACACGTCCTTTTTCAATGATCTTGCCCTCCATACCGACAAGTTTACGGCCTCCAACTTCGATTCCTCCGATAATCGGGAGCTCGGATTGGGCAACATCAGCATCCGCATCTGTAGCAGCATCGGCCAGTTGGCTGGCCGTGTACCACTCTTTGATTGCTTCCCATTCGGTGACTTCGTCGGGCATCAAGATTTCACGGCACTCGATAGTGTGTACCTCATCCTGTTGTGGTGGGAGGAAAGCAACGTCGTCACATAAACGAGGGGTGTATATTACCATTAGGTAAGAGCACGTGGTGAGTTCCTTGATCCAGCCGATGTGATCTGTCGATTGTGGATGACAATGAAACTGCACTTCGACCTTGCGTTCGCGTCCGGTCAGATCGCACCTGGTCCCGCCATTCAGATGCTGGACCAAGTATCGCGAGCCACCCTTTGTGTGAAGCTCTGCCACATCTGTTTTAGCAGATTGTTTCTCTTCCTCGCCTTGATCGCTGATAAATCTTCCCAGAACGAAGGAATGCGTCGCGGTGTCTTCAATGGGTGGGTAGTGGGGAACACCCCGGCCAGCAGGGAGCGCATGGAACTGCTTGACCTGCTTCTGATAACAGAAGGAGTAGGACCACCAGCCAGAGAAATAGTACATGCATCTCCCTTCCATTTCACGTAGAAGTTCCAGACCACGATCTGTTGCCCGGGCCAGCTCTTTCTGCTCCTCGGCCTTGCTATTCTCCTTGTCTCTTGTTGTATTATGGTCGTCGTTCGTGACACGTGGGATCTGGCAGAGCAGTCGTCGGTCCTCAAGTATCATTTCTTCATAGGCGAATGGAGATCCATTCACATCCTCGGGCTGGTCTGCGGATTTCATGCTACCCTGGCCCATGTAAATCTGGGGATTGTTCTGGTCATTGGCGCGGGGGCTGGCCTGGGACTGGAGTAATGCTTCGGCGTGAGATTCGAGCACATATTCCTCGGGAAATTTCACTTGATACTTTGAGCAAGATTCAACGTTAGTTCGTTTCAAATCGATGCAAGTCATATCCACCTACCTGGGGATAGGCCAGGAGATCGTCATTGATGTTGAACGGCTTCTTATTTGCCCACGCACTACACACAGCACAGGCCAATACCAGCCACGGCGACAGGCTTGCTGAGTGGCCCATCTCTTCAAATAGACAGATAGACAGATTATTATGCAGTGAATCAAGGATGACAGTGGAGTCTAGGGGTTGTTGAAGTCAGGTAGCTTGAAGCTTCCCCGCGAAAGGCGCTTGTCGCAAGACGCTTCAATTCGATAATGTCAAGGCGTTGGCATGTAAATCAATCGTGTATGGGTATCAGTGCTAATTATGTAAAGGTAGAAGTAATCAAATTTGCAAGGCTGAAAGAATCAAATGCATACACAGTAGGCAGCCCTCGCATGTCAAGTTTTGGTAGTGGAGAGCCTGGACAGCTGTTCCGTGGCCTTATCTGATAACGCCTAATCTACTATGTATGCCCGTGGGCAGGTTGGAAGCAGATGCGTATTACAAAATCCATTGAAATGGACCTTTTTGAAATGTATATGGGAAAAACATCTAGAGTCACAAGATACTGGAAATCTGCAACATGGATCTATAACATGCATATATTCATACAATCCAGTAGATTAGTTATTATGGATGCCGTTTCCTGGGTCACCTGATTTGAAATGCTGAACTCAGCATTAGTACCTCATTTATCAGGTACATATGCTAACCATATATAGTTAGACCCATGTTAGCGGCTGCTGACAGGGATGTTGGTAATACAAGCCAAGCCATTCCATTGGCCGGACCAGGCTGACTGATGTCTTGCAAAGCATTGGGGCATCGGATACTAGGTACAAAGAAGAGTATTTATGAGATTGACTAACGCTGACAGCATTTTCTTTCCAAGCCAAACATTCTACTATTCTTAATCCTTCGCATATAAATAGCCCTCACCTTATCCATGAAACTACTTCTACCACTTTTAATTTGCATCACAGCAATTTTCCTTGCCTATAACCCTTCAATCAAAGACTCTTTTAGAGACTCTTTTCTCACATTCGTCCAGCAGCAAGCTCCTAGTTTGTCACAGTATTCTCAGACAATAAGTATTGTCAATCAGACAAACCACCACCTCGATTTGGACACCCCAACTCTCATAGTCCTCCCCATCACAAACATGTCCGTTCCTCGCGCAATCCGACAGGCCTTCCTTGCCGTTGAGCAAGCAGAAGGCGCAGGCGCCCGTGTGCGCCGATCTATTGGAACTGCCAAGCTTCGCAACTTCAGCCCCTTCCTCATGCTCGACCACTTCACCATCGGCAAGGGTGCCGGCTTCCCGGATCATCCCCACCGTGGCCAGGAGACCATCACCTATTTGTTGTCCGGTGGCGTTGACCACGAAGACTTCGCCGGTAACAAGGGCACCATCGGGCCCGGCGATCTGCAATTCATGACTGCAGGCCGTGGCATCATGCACGCTGAGATGCCTCACGAGAACGCAGACGGTAGCCCCAACGTCGGTATGCAATTGTGGGTCGATCTCCCCCAGAAGCTGAAGTTCTGTGAGCCTCGTTACCGTGACCTGCGCGCCTCAGAAATTCCCCTCGCCACAGTCGATGAGGGCCGCGTCAAGATTAAGGTTATCTCGGGCCAGTCGCATGGTGTTGACTCCGTGCGTGACTTGGCCTACACCCCTGTCTGGATCTTGGATATTACCATCAATCCTGGTGGCCGTATCTCGCAGCCCCTGCCGCAGGGATGGAACTCATTTGCCTATACTTTGGCTGGTGAGACTGTCTTTGGTTCGAATGATTCCACTCGCATCGTGAAGGAATTCACAAATGTCGAATTTGAGCAGAAGGGTGACTTTGTTGAATTATCTGTCCCCGATAATGCCGAAAAAGATTCCCGCATCTTCCTTGTGGCTGGTCAGCCGCTGGATCAGAAGGTTGTTCAGTATGGACCTTTTGTGCTAAACACTCAGGAGGAGGTGTATCAGGCGATGCTCGACTACCAGACTGCGTCCAATGGGTTTGAGAGGACTCGAGGTTGGCAGAGTGAGATTGGCAAGCGGATGGGATAAACCACATGGCTGTTATTGATTGTTTTATATTTACTTGGTTTATATGGACTATAGTCACATATATTGTGGGTTTTGGCGTTAAAACATATAATATTAAATGAATAAAGTCCTTTATATGAAATGATTCAAGTTCCATCGAGTATATTATGCGTGGTAAAGTCTGTAAAGTCGTTTGTTGGAACTTTGCCACGCGTATCCAGTATAACGCTCAGGGTTTAAACCCCCAGTTTTCAGAGGGATTTGGTACCAGAATGCCTTATTCCAGAACGGCAAAAAAAATCAAGATACCTTCACAATCCAAGGAGCCTAATTCTACTTTATAAGTGTCGAAAATGTGTAAACAGAGATATCGCTAGTTAGGCGATTTGTAAGTGTTCAAAGTGAAGCTTTCATTTTCTATTTGTATAGGACTAAAAGCCTCATTTTCAGTATAAATAATTTACAATACAATACAACTACTCCTTATAGAGTGGCGGTACAGGAAGCGGTTACTATAAGACTGAGTACGTGCGCCCTCTCCTTCTCGTTGCAACACCAAGGAAAAGAGACGGCTAAAAAGCAATTGCAAAGCTATCTTCATTATAAGAGCCTCTATTTGGAATTTCATACCGGGCTAAGCGGACCAGATTATTGAAGTTTACGTACGTCGTCAAAGACAAGGGCCGCTATTTTGAGAGGCAATGTAGATGAAGTCAGTTTTACCTGCACTTTTTCGGATTTTAACATATGCTAGATTGAGATATCGCTAAACTAGATGAGAGGCAGGAAGGGAAAAAAAAGAAAGTAGAGTCGTTCCGTCAATCCACCGTGACGCCACTCAAATTGTCTCGGTTTGGGTGATTCCGTCAATTTTGATGGTCGCTCCAACGGTACCAATCAGAGCAAGTCCCCTGGGGATGTGGACGTCGCGAATCTTGAAGCAAGCAAAGACAACCAGCCTCTGAAGGGCAGGGCAGCACCGAAGGATGCACTGTGCTAGGTAATCGTCCACGGCAGTACTAAAGGAAATGTCAAGATATTTGAGATTGGGATACATTTTCCCTTCTGCAAACACCTGTTCGAACGCTGTGTATGAAATGTGACGGCACGAGGAGATATTCAAGTGTCGAAGTTTCGAGCCCGAATGCTCCATAAGAGCAACGAACCCGTCGGATGCAAGCCCAATAGGCTCCTCCGGACCGGTGGGATTCGTCATGTCCACATCCCGGAGGGAGTTCAAGTCGACATAGGTAATGGCTGGGTTAGACCAACCTGTGAAAAGGGCGGCTAAACCTTTATCGGTGAAGGTTGAATTGAGGGTAAGACGAAGCTTGGTCAGATGGCGGCAATGCTCATGGATATGCTGTAAAAGTCGGTCATCGACAAACTCGAATTCCTCCAGTGATAGAGTCTCTAGCTGATGACCAACGCTACTCATTATCTCAAGGAGAGGCTCGGTCTTGATCTCGGTCTCGTTTAGAAAACGCAGCGACAAATGCTGAAGGGACTTGAGTGTCGAAATACCCTCAAGCATCTCATTGTCGGTTTTGTGTAAAAACTTAAGTTTCAGTCGCTGAAGGTTGGGACAATGAAGGCACATTAGTTGAGCAGTTTCGTTATCAAAAGCAGAATCTAAATTCCACAATTTGAAGCTCAGGAAGCGATGACCAAGTTTCATGAAAAGTTGGCGCCAACAGGCATCGGTCACAAGGTTTGGCCCATCCAGGTGGAGATCTTTGATCTCCATATCACGTTCCATCATATAGTGGAAAATCTGGTCCTTCATTGGAGTGGTGAACCGAAGGTTAACCCTTGTAAGACGAGGCATGGAAGCCATAATCTTGTGGTAATCATCCGTGCCGAGTTCTAGCCACTGGTTAGACTTTCACTGTTTCACAGAGATGTGATAGCTCTGACTTACTAGCACAGTCGAACAGATCAATGGATGTATAATGAGGTCGTAGGAACAGATCTAGGGTCCGTGAGGTCACAGCCCGTCTTCTAGACAAGATCTGACCGAGACGTACTAACAATGACGGAGGCAAGTCACCGAAGTCCTCAATATCATGAATATAATCTGCCACTTTCTATCAAATGATTAGCAATCTTTCGTCAATGCCGTGGGAGGTTGGATGTCATGGACATACCTTGATGCATGTTTCCAGTAGACTCTGAGTGCCATGGGGAGTCAATCCATCAAGTAAATTGGCTTGATTCTGACGTCGTCCGATCCCGGGGCCACGCTTCTTGGCTGGGGGCTTTTTATCGTCGGCCTTTTGCTTCTTAGAGCAATCAACGCAAAGCAAGCCTCCGTTCGGACCGGCCTTACTATAGGGAGTCACGGTGAAACGCTTGTCGCAGATCTCGCAATTCGCAAGTTGACCGGGTTTAGGTTGATTTTTTTCTTCATGGATCTTTAGCGCGAGCAGGTTATCGTCGCCCTCATCATCGTAATCGCCACTAAAGCGGGCCTTGCGCTTAGCAAACTCCTTGCTATTTTTAATCTTTGCAATGGCTTGCTCGCGCTTGCGCTTTTTTATCGGGTCTTCCGGTGATGCCAATACCGATGGAGACCTAGACTCTTCAGGTGTATTGGACGATTGTTCAGCTTGGTCAGGCTGGCGCTGTGCCTCGGCTTGCCGACGGTCCCAATCATCTCGAATTTGTTGGGCTGAGATATTATTTGACTAGAATCAGTCAGCCAAGCCATATTATCCAGGTCAGAAATATCTCAACATACAGCAAGATAGTCAGTTAAGGCAGAACGTCTAAAGTCACGATCAGTCTTTGGGTCATAGGGCGAAGGGAAGCAAAACATACGGGCCCCGAATCCCCTGAGGCTGACTTGGCTGCCGCTGTCCCCGTCTCCTTCCTGCCCTATACGAAGTCAGTTTGAAAATAATAATGGAGCATGGAGATACTCACATATTTGAATAGTTTGAATATCACAGTGAGGCTCAAGGTCGGTCTGGGCCCGAGTCACTGGACCCGTGGCAATTTCGCGTTTCACTTAACGCGGTCTTATCTGAGATAAGGACACGGGATATGGCGAAGGGGGATATGAAGGATACAAGGGATATGGACAAGAGAGATGAAGAGAGATAGAGTCCTCTGATGCTAAATGATGTTGGAGATAAATATTTGCCACCAAGGATGGGAAAGGAAAAAAATGATGAATCGGAAAATTCCGAGGAAATTTTCTGGTTCAGGCACCTCTCCTCAACTTCATCTTCTCTCACTCACTCACTCCAGGGCCTCCCTGCTTTTAATCTCCTTTCCTTAAACATCCCAAGTAGGGAAAACTCTCGTTTTTATCTCTACTTTCTTGTCTGATTCCATCCATCATCCTATCTTTTCTCTCCTATCCCCGTATTGATAACACAAACAAGTGAAGTTGGCCTCTCTAGGTACTCTCCTCCCAATCACATTTGTCTATATATTCTTCAAACTTGGCTAACAAGATTCATCGTGATAGATTAATACTACTTCAAACCTCTCATTCCACTACTCTCTACATTCACTCCAATATGAGGCATAACCTGAGGCCCAGAACCACAATCCCTGATTCAGATGACGATTCACAGATCAGCGAAACGTCATTGAGGAATTCATCTCCCCTCCGTCGATCAAGTCGATCGGGACCTTTACGGGCCGGTGGGTCATCCCTTTCTCAGTCACGCCCGCGCGTCATCCAAGATTCCGAGGCAGACGAGGGTGACTATGTTGGTTTATCGGACTCGGTGGCACCAGACAATTTTGCTCCGGGAATCGCGGTGGTCGTGCCCGTGAAGAATGAGCCATCTAGTGACACGAATTCTCGGAGCTCACTTGGGGATCAGTCGACGGGCTATAGTACCCCAGCTACCAGCGTTGGTGCTTCGGTTACCGAGCCCGACACCAAGATTGCGGCCAAAACTTCAGCGCGTATCAATGCCGCTGATCGCGTAAAGAAATTACAGTTGAGCTCATTATCCCTAGGGGCTTCCAAAAGAGGAAGAAAACGGCCTGCGGCTGTTTTGGCTGAGGATGATGATGCCTCGGATGTTCCACTGGCTCGTGCCTCTAAAAAAAGGATGGCAAAACGGCCTGCTCTGGCTGTCCAAACCGACCCCGAGGCTTCCGATACTGCGCTGGCCCATGCTCTTCAAATGGAAGAATACGAGTACCCACACCCAACAACAGAAGCCCGTTTGCCCGTAGACAAATTTATTGATGAACACATGGAATACGACTCGGACCCAGATTCCAGGCCGGAGTTATTCTCCCCGTTGAGCCCTGAGCCACCTGGGTTGCTTCCTTCTGGTACCGCTGGCTCGGATAGAGAGGATCCTTTAGAAGGCGGGTCTCCCCTTTCAATTGGAACAGACCTCAATGACGACTCTGAAGAAGAGCTGCCCCCAACCTGGGAAGAGCAGCGGAAAGCTCGTCGTGTAAGTCGGGTCCTTTTTCTACGTACCTTTACATGACTAACCCTCACCTAGGCTGAAAAGGACCGAAAGAACCTTGTGCGTAAGCATCCCACAATTGGTACCATGTGGGATGTGCTCAAAGCACAGCCAATTATCCAGCCAAAGGAGGCGAAGCAACCTGCCTCGATTACTCGGAAACTCAAGGCATTCCAGCTCGAGGGTTTGAACTGGATGATAGCACAGGAGAAAACACAATACAAAGGTGGCTTATTGGGTGATGAGATGGGCATGGGAAAGACCATCCAAGCAGTTTCACTCATCATGTCCGATTTTCCCCAGCCTGACCCAACTCTCGTCCTCGTGCCACCGGTTGCTTTGATGCAGTGGGTATCCGAGATCAAAGAATACACGAATGGCAAGCTGAAAGTCTTGGTCTATCACAATTCCGACGCGAAAGTCAAAAAGTTGACACCAGCTGAAATTCGCAAATACGATGTCATCATGATTTCCTATGCAAGTCTCGAATCCATTTATCGCAAGCAAGAGAAAGGCTTCTCTCGCGGCGAGACGATGGTCAAAGCAAATAGTGTCATTCACGCAATCCACTACCATCGCCTCATTCTTGACGAGGCGCATAGTATCAAATCGCGTACCACGGGTGTTGCCAAGGCATGTTTTGCCTTGGAGGCTAATTACAAGTGGTGCCTATCGGGCACACCCGTACAGAACCGGATTGGAGAGTTCTTTTCCCTGCTACGCTTTTTACAAGTCAAGCCATTTGCATGCTACTTTTGCAAGCAGTGCGATTGCGAACAACTTCAGTGGACCTCGACTAAAGAGGGACGTTGTACCGAGTGCTCTCACACTGGGTTTATGCATATCTCAGTCTTCAATAAGGAGATTCTCAATCCAATCATCGAGGGGAAAACTCAGCAACAACGCAAAGATGGGCTCGACAAGCTGCGTCTCATCACTGATCATATCATGCTCCGTCGGATGAAGCAACAGCATACAAAGTCAATGGAGCTTCCACCTAAACGTATCACGTTGCATAATGAATTCTTCGGCGAGATTGAACAAGACTTCTCTCGCAGCATCATGACGAACTCGACCAGAAAATTTGATACCTACGTCAGCGAGGGTGTTATGTTGAACAACTATGCCAATATCTTTGGATTGATCATGCAGATGCGCCAAGTTGCCAACCATCCCGATCTTATTTTGAAGAAAAAAGCGCAGGCTGGGTTCAACGTTGCCGTGTGCTGCGTCTGTGACGAGCCTGCAGAAGATGCGATTCGGTCTCAGTGTCATCATGAGTTCTGTCGTCAATGCGCCAAGGACTATATCCAGTCTTTCCAGGACGATAGCAAGCATGTTGACTGCCCACGGTGCCATATTGCTCTTTCGATTGATTTGGAACAACCTACGCTTGCAGAATACGAAGAATCTGTCAAGAAGAATTCCATCATCAACCGCATCTCGATGGAGAGTTGGACCTCGTCCACGAAAATCGAGATGCTCCTCTACGAACTCTTCAAGGAGCGCAGCAAAAGCCATACCCCTAAATCCATTATTTTCTCCCAGTTCACATCCATGCTACAACTAGTCGAGTGGCGGTTACGCCATGCCGGGTTCAACACCGTGATGCTGGATGGATCGATGACTCCGACACAGCGGCAAAAGTCCATTGAGCATTTCATGACTAAGCCCGAGGTTGAGGTTTTCTTAGTCTCTCTTAAGGCTGGTGGCGTGGCACTCAATCTCACGGAAGCTTCCCGAGTTTTCATTATTGACCCGTGGTGGAATCCTGCCGCGGAATGGCAAAGTGCCGATCGCAGTCACCGAATCGGTCAACAACGACCTTGCGTGATCACTCGACTCTGTATTGAAGATTCGGTTGAATCACGAATCATTCAACTTCAAGAGAAGAAAGCCAACCTCATTCGGGGTACATTGAATAAAGATCAAGCGGCGGCCTTGGAAAAACTGACTCCGGAGGACATGCAGTTCCTGTTCCGAGGAACCTAAACCCTTTGACAGTCTCCAATTTCTCCAATACGCCACCTTCGTCACGGAGTTCTATGTGTTTGGGGGAGTTTTCGATGATTCCCATGATATGGAGATTTTTATGTACCTTTGGCCTTTAATCCAAAGTCTACTCTTCCGATGAACTAAACAATCTATGTAGTTCAAAATGCAATCATAAAATGTAATATGAAGTAATATGAAACAGGGCAGAACTTGAGGTCATAGTACAGGTACTCTTGGCGAATATCTCTGTTGCCTGGGATCATCTTTTCCTCTTCCGTTCATTTGTAAGGCTGAAAGCTTGGCCCTCTCCACCTCTTTTTTTATATCTTTTCTATGAATATTTTTACTTATCCTTTCATCTCGGGGAGACTCTTGAGCTATGGATTCCCAGCCCCGGTCATTGCCTATTCATCCTATTGACAAATATGGGCCTAAATTTGTCGAGAAGGCTGATAAGATACATCGCGTCAGTATGAAGGAAGAGTCAAAGCCTGCCGGAGGATTCGATGCCACTCCCATCCCTCATGCCCCGCCAGGCTACACCCTCAAGATCACTTTCCATCGCGCAGCGGATTTGCCCATCGCGGATTTTGGCAGTTTCTCTTCCGACCCCTATGTCTCCGCGCACATGATAGTCGACCTGCCAAGGCGCCATAAACAAGACCCCGTCATGCGCTTTCGCACCCCGACCGTACGCAAGGACATGAACCCAACCTGGGAATGTGAGTGGATTGTCGCAAATGTCCCCGCCTCAGGGTTTCAGTTGAAATGTCATCTCATGGACGAGGACCCCGCGGATCACGATGATAAGCTGGGAATCGCTTTCATCGACATTCCTACCCTCTCGGAGAACTGGGAAGGCTTCAAGGAAAAGTCATTTAAGGTCAAAAAACGCTTTGGGAGTAAGCGTGTCTATGTCTTTACTAATATCTCTGCGTTTGCGACTGGTCACCAGAAGGAGTCTTGGTTGGTGGTCAGTATCGAATGCCTCGGCAAGACCCCTGGCACCGAGGGGGGTCATATGTACACCATCGGTCCCAACCATTGGTTCAAGCATTTTTCTCCGATGATCGGACGGCTAGCTGGCATCAAGGACCAGGTCCAAAGCAAAGATGGCAGTGGCTCTATTAGCCGTTACAAGTGTGTCCCTCTCATTCCACCTAGTCCATTTCTATATACTGATCCCCGAATAGTTTTCAAGCGATTCAGATGCAGCTCACAGGCCCCATACCTGCAGAGTTATATCATCGCTATGTAGAGTTCAAACCATTCGTGGCGGGAATGTTCCAGTCGCAGAGTCTACGAGGGCGTATCCTGCATAAGGCCCTCCATCACCAGCACCAGCGCATCTACAATTTTGATCGCACTACCTTGCACGGGTCCTTCCAGACGCCTTGCCGTGAATTCTCCCAGAAGTTCTTGGAGTTTGCGCACTATGGCCAAGGTGGACGGATTTTCACCTACGTGCTCACCTTGGACGGGCAACTCCGGTTTACCGAGACCGGGAAAGAATTTGGTATCGATATGCTGAGCAAGCACACCATGCACAGTGATGTGTCTATCTATATCGCGTATTCGGGGGAATTCTTTCTTCGGCGGCGTAAGCATCGTCATCGTCGTAACTCTCCGGAAGGGCGTGCGGAGCGAGCAAAGAATGCAGAGAATGCAGAGAATGCAGCATCAAGCACAGTGCCCACACACGAGTTCCCCGTGGAGGAAGATGAGGACCACAATGAGGGTGAGGATCTCGGTCAAACCGAAGAAGGGACCCCTATCTCGACCGATCCAGCGGACTATGAACTCTTTATTGATAACGATAGTGGGACCTACCGTCCTAACGCGGAGAAGCTACCACTGCTTCAGGAGTTTATGTCCTCCAACTTCCCCGGTCTCCATGTTACGACTCTGGACTGTCAGGCGGATGCCGAACGAATGGGAAAATTGAAGGACGAGCAGCGCGACTTCAAGAAGAACGCAGGCAATGTCATTATGTACCTACAGCAAAGCAGCGCGTCTTCCCTGTCGATCTCCAGCTCGGAAGAGGAAGAGCTCAACGAGCGCAGCGGTCAAGCCAAGCAACGAGGAGATCTTTCTCGACGAGTCCACGAGATGCGCGATCTACGAGGACAGGTAATGCGGTGGGTAGAAGCGGATGAGAAGCCCGATGGTCATAAGCACAAGCATCGGTACTTTTCTAGCCGTGAGCGCGCCGTGTCGACTGGTGCGATCAGCACTGACCGGACCAATCAACTTGCGACCTGATTTTGTTTTTCTTTTGTTCGGTTTCTTGGGGGTTTTTCTTGCTTTCGGGAGCCACGTATCTTTTCTCGATACTTGGTCTGAGACCGAGTCTTCACGACGTTCACGATTAATTCTTGATACCAGGCTGTTATGCTGTTTCGCCTAGTCTAGTTTTATTAATACAATGATATTTAGAAGGGTCATCAAATGTATAAAATGTTTAAAATGTATGGATTTGGGTTAGGAATGGGGTTATGGTCATAGATATATATGTACATGGTTCATTAGATATCACTTTATAACAAAACGATGAATTAAATTTTATATGTGCTTGTATATATATATGTACACACATACATATTGACTATTCATATGTCTACCGATCTAAATCTACCAAGAGAAGAAACTTGAACGAAAGAGAAGCTTTCCAAATGACATATGGGGGTGTACACATTTTATCCGACTCTCGCCCCCCCCTCCTTCACATCCTAGCTCTTCTCCCCCTTACACACCACTGATTACTCGGTTCCTTGACACGCTTCAGTAGGCCATCCGACTGCAATTTCGCAGACCGTCGATGGCCAACGATTGGTCTACTTCGGTCCCTTTCTCACACCGTGAGATTCATTTGCCATCATGGGGAATGTTGCCAGCCGCCTTGACGATGCGGGGAACTTGTTTTTCAAAGATCAGAATCGCTGTAAGTGAAGACCATCGAGGCTCTGGTCCTCTTGATATACTGATGAACTTGCTGTAGTCTCGATCGCATCCGTCACGATAAGCAACCCACGACGTCGTCTTCTGACTCTATCCCCCAACGCGTTCCCTGCGACGAGGTTCGTAGCCAAGCGCGATGCCGGCGACGATACTCCGATCGAATATATTCAGGTAAACAGTACCCAATAGGCTAGAGGTATGGGGTCGTCTAGCTAACAAGACTCAAAATGCAGGACCCCGACACCCCCTCCGTCGCTCCGATCCCGACGTTCATGCTACGACTGTCGAATGAGGAGGAACTGATCTTCAAATTCACATTTATCATTCGCCAGACACAGACCGGCAATGCTCCAAATTCCGTCAATGGTGTCTCAACGACCATGCCCGAGGTGGCAGACACCAGTCTCACCGGCCTCACGTTCGCTCATGCATCCAACTCAAAGGAACTCGATAACCTGATCACAAGAGAGTTCCATGCGAACCCTAACCTTCAGAATAATTCCAATGTCCAGCTCATCGGGGATTACTCTACTGGGGGCAGCCCGTCCGTGTCGTTCGAATGGTCATGGAGATGGAAGCCTCCGAAGGTAACAGAGGACAAAGGTGGCGGCTGGCGCAACAGCTGCAGCTTCTTGGATTACGATCAAAGAACAAACCGCCTCAACACCCTCGCCCATTTTTCCTTCTGGGTTCACAATTCCAATCGTCCCCTGCCGAGTCCGCAGATCTCATCGCCAAACCTGGAGTTACCCACTTTCCCGCGCTCTCGTATCTCATCAACCCAGTCTGTCCTATCTTACTATAGCGATGCCGAATCCACCCACCCAAACCCGTCTACTCTTTCGCCTGAGCCAGTGGAAAAGTCTCTCCCGCCCCCTCCGCCGTCCGCGCCCCCTCCTCCACCACCAGCCAAGGTGGACCTTCCCCATTCGCGGGCAGGTGATGAGATGAGCGGAGTGGAGGATGGACCCTTGTTCCGAGCGACGATGAAAGCGTTAGAGTCGAAAACAAGCAACATGCGAAGCAAAATAAAAAAAGTCCTCAAGAAAGCCGAGAGCGCACAGCTAGCGCAAGCTAGTTGCAATGAAGCCATGGAGGCGTTCATAGGCTCATTGAATGATGCGTCTACGTCCAATGCAAATGCCATTCAGCCTGCATTAGATCATTATTTTGAGAAGATCGCTCGGCAGATTTTGAAGTACGAGCAACTCAACACGACCCAACTCCAGAAACTCGTGATTGATCCCCTGGTCAAGCTATATAACAACGACATTAAGCAAGCAGAAGCCAAGAAGAAGGAATGGGATGAAGAGAGCCGTGACTATTACGCGTATGTCAGTCGGTATCTAGGCCAGCGACAGGATTCGCTGAAAGAGAAGAAGCGTGCCGAGAGCGATTCGAAATATCAAGTCAAACGCCGGAATTTTGAATTGAGACGATTTGATTACTCCTCATTCATGCAAGATCTCCATGGGGGTCGCAAGGAGCAAGAGGTTCTCTCACATCTCACCAAATATGCAAGTTGTCAGGCCAAGAATTTCCTGTTGGCTGCCAAAAATGTTGAAGCAATGACCCCTCAATTGGATGCCCTAATCCACGAGGTGGATCAAGCCGACAAGGAGTTCCAATTTCAGCGTACAGAGCGGGAAGAGAAACGCCGGGCTCTGGAAAATGGCAGTAACCCATATCTTGAGCCCGACGTAGTGGCCAGTGCGACGAGTATACCTGCTATATCTCCTGGGACTCCCAACAGCGGTCCTTCTACCGAGGTGGAGCTTGGTCGAGCTGATAGCACTGGCTCCCAGCTTCGAGGGGTCATCAGCAACACCTCATCGGTTTCGTCTCAAGCAAATGCAGGATCAGCTACATCAGCCACAGGGGCCAGTGCACCCACGTCAAACCCAACGGCGGTCGGCACCGCGAGCCAGAATCGTTTCAAGGGTATCCGAGATCTCGAGGAGCAGAACAGTCTTGGGTCCGATCGAAGCAGTGGCCAACAACGGAAAGAAGGCCTCCTGTGGGCACTTTCCCGTCCAGGATCTCACATTGATCCCAAGGGAATCAACAAACAGGCATGGCACAAGTAAGTACAAGCGCATGAATGTTTGACCCACTCCTAACTTTCTCAGATTTTGGATTGTCTTGGATCAAGGAAAATTATCCGAGTACAGTAACTGGAAACAAAAGCTGGATTTACATATGGACCCCATCGATCTGCGTATGGCGTCCGTCCGTGAAGCGCGAAATGCAGAACGACGATTCTGCTTTGAAGTGATCACACCCCAGTTCAAACGTATCTACCAAGCCACGTCCGAGGACGACATGTCGAATTGGATCAGGTCGATCAATAACGCGCTGCAAAGTGCAGTCGAGGGCCAAGAGACTCCACCTCCCTCTGCATCTAGGAGCGATAGGCCCAGCAGTCGGGATATTGGTTCCGCTCTAACAGGAAAAAGCTCGTCCGTGTCTGGCCATCACTCCTATTCCTCCTCTAGCTCAGGTAGCAACGCTGGCGTCATTCGTCGAACAACTGTCGGTGCGCGCCCGGGTTATGTCCGCCATGATAGCAACAGCTTTGAAGAGAATCCTGCAAAACTCCTGCAGATTGTACGAGATGCGGACCAAGGCAATAACTGGTGTGCTGATTGCGGATCGTCGTCCAAGGTTGAATGGGTGTCCATCAACCTCGGAATCATTCTCTGCATCGAATGTAGTGGAATTCACCGCTCTCTGGGCACGCATATTTCCAAGATTCGCTCTCTCACATTGGATGTACATTCCTTCTCGAACGACATTGTCGAGATTCTCCTACAGATTGGAAATCGCGTCAGCAACATGATCTGGGAGGCGAACCTGGATCAAACGCTCAAGCCGAGCGCTAGTTCTACGCGAGAACAGCGGTTGAAATTCATCACCGCTAAATATGTTGATCGAGCCTACGTTGAGCATCTGCCGTCACCACATTCTCGCTTTGCGACACCTGATGAAACACTTTTGGCGTCAATCAAACAGAACAACATCCAAGGCGTCCTCTATGGCCTCGCCCTGCGTGGCAACGTCAACATCACCGATCGCTCCCGTAACACACATGCAACCTTCCTTGCCCTCGCCGCAGCCGATCCTGCGTCCCCGGGCTCCCCACCAACCACTCTCGCCGCCAGGTCTAGCGCAAAGGCCATCCCATTCCCCATCGCTGAGCTGCTAGTCCAAAATGGTGCAGAGATTCCACCACAACCTCCTTCCATCCCTCTCTCCCCCGCAGCCAAGCTCTACCTCAGCCAGCGGACTGCCCGCCCCTCTGCCTTCAGCGTGCCTCCACCGCCGTTAGGTGGACATTCCTCTGCAAATGATACTCTGGGCTCTTTGCCAACTATCCGCAGCAAGGAATCTTCCTCTTCGTCAAACACACCAACTCTGGCAGAGACCAGGGACAAAGACCGAGAGAAGCTCTCCAAACGGGGAAGCGCTGGTGCCCGCTTTGCAGGGAAAGTGGCTTCCCTTGGAATTGATCGATAACGGGCTCTTCACTCGCGCTTTATCTTGTCTATATCCCCGTTTAGCACATCAGCGCCGCCCATAATCGTAATTATATCAGTGTTTAATGACATTCCGCATGAAAATTCCCCTCTTGATGAACTGCTGTTTTGTTTTTTTTGTTTTGTTTTTCATTCTTTGGTTTCTGTTTCCGGCCAGGATCTTTTTGTTTCCTCTCCGCTCTTTGGCTCTCTGACTTCTGTCAGGGCCAAGCGGTGATTTCTTTCGTTTCTTTTTCCCTTCTTCGTGTCAATTCTTGATACAAGCATATCGATCCTGCTTTTTGGATGATTGCTCACTACTTTTATGGCTTATTGTCTTCCTAGGACGAATTTAAATATGGGTCCGGTCTGTTGCCTTTTGCCCTGGGCTCGGATTATTCTGTTTAATCACATGTAGTGGTGCACTGGTGGATGTCCGAAGTTCCGGGCGACTTGTACTTAGCGAGCTTTGAGGATCATTCAACTCTTGCAGTGATCAATCGTGACAGCCATGGAAGAATGGGGGTCCTTGCATAGTGATCTCCGACGTATACCGAATGGAGCTACTTAGCGTATGGCTCTTGTCTTCGGCTTCCCTCGTCATCCACTTTCCCATAGCAGAATATCTATAAACAGACCACCGATACTCTACTGGATGCTGGATACTGTACAGGAACGAGGTTGCCTGACAGTGGCAAGCCCAATACGCCCATGCATCCACACTGACCCCAGCAGCTGACGATAATCCCAACGCTCATGGAGCTAGGACTGCAACGCCGTGGGGCTGTGGCGTCTAGCGGTGGCCGAGGATGGAAGGACCTGCAGGTTTCTAGATGAAAATAGAAAGATGTACAAGACGGAGTACTCCGAACGTGGATCTGGAGATCTGGAGACGTGGCCAAGGAACCATTGTATATAACGCCATATGGCCTGCTTGGAGCTCTGCTGATCCCCGCAATGATTGGGGCTATGAATAGTCTAGGGGGCGATAGCTACCAAGCCACTGATGATCAAGGGTGGAATTGTTCAATATGCCATCTCCACCTTGGTATGTTGTACTTCCGCATGTTGTACATGACCCATATAATCTTCAGATTCCTACGTAGGCACTTCTTGGAGTCTTGCAATCGAATGTAGGCGCAATCCGTCACGCGGTCGGAATGTTTTCTCTATAATCGATCACTCCAAGTCTGATCTAGATCAACAATGTATAGCAAGGTCATCGTAGCTCCATGAAGCGAACTCATACTGTGGGGAGGTTATCATGACGTCATTTATACCTCAGGTGTTCCTGTGGCGTTTCAAGGTCAAATACTTCGACCACTCACCTTCTACGGTTGGATAGATCGCTGACTTGGCTTTGAAGAAGGTGTAAGGAAGGCGCTAGAATGCGCCATTTGAATGGGAATGTTCAACTTACATCATAAAAGTGCGTCAGTGGCTCTCTGCTTTGCCCATACACGATGTACAACATGTAGTAGTTCGCCAGGAAATCTCCGGATAATCTCCGGTCCATTTGACGTATATTGTGAGCATGGTGGAGGGTGTGATTGAGATGAGTCATGGCTGAGAATGCATTGAGCAGCGTATGTAGATAGATATACACTAGTCCATGCAGTCCTGAAGCAAAGTACGTCCATGTATATCAAACGAATTGGTCAGCTGACCCGGAGAACTTGTCCGATACTTTTGAGATATCCAATCAGAAGAAGAACTACGTTGAGATCCAAGAGGAAGAAGAGGAAGAATCTGGTAGTCTATATCATGGGTACCAGGTACAAGATACCATGGAAAACCATACCCTACTTCTCCAGTACTAATGTCTCTCTAGGTGACATTCTCGGGCTGATCGGATGCAACGCACCTTACCTTCTGCTAATAGTTTGGAGAACATTGATCTGGTCCCCACTGGGATTCAAAGTTGAATGCCTAAGTATCTCTCGGGTCACTGTGGCTGTTTCTCACAGGGCTGATTGGTTTGCTCAAAAGCCAGCAGTGGGTATATGTCTAGGTTCTTCCATGGCACAATATGGAAGATATGAACACATGTGATTGCCACAGAGAACATTTCCATCCTCTCTCTCTCTCTCTCTTTTTTTTCCATTTTTTTTTCATTTACTATGATGACTATTCTAATGATGTATACTCCGTATATACCTAGGTCGATAGCCCTATATGCCAATTGTAGTCCCAATCCCGGCTTCTGATTGGCTGGCCTGAGATGCCGATGGAGAAATCGGGTGGATCCAACTTCACCTCGTCTTGTCCCTTTTTTTTCTCTCTTTCTCTCTTTCTTCTGTTGGTTTTTTTTTTTTTTTTTTTTTTTTCAATTGGCTCATTTGCAAACAATTTTTGATGTGCTTATGTTGTCTTTTTCTTTGGATCAAGCTTCATTGATCAAGGGTACAACGGCTTCACGTATACTCTTGAAATGTCGAGTTCATACGCAAGGTAAGCTTTTCTCAAGTTGGGATTCGACATGCTCTGTTGCATTATACAGTAGCACATGTCTCTTAAAATAGGTTTAACCCTGGGATTGAATACTCTTGTACTCCCAAGAACTGCAAAGTGGAATATCCATTGGTGGGATTATGATCGAGCCTAGTGGGAGTGTATCCAGAACAGCCCCATCGGTCTATATGCCGTTGTCATGAAACGCCCCCGTCGGATCCAAAGCCTCATTTTGTCCCATTGATAGGCGCCTAACGCCTGTACCATTGTACCAGATAGCTCATTCCATCTATATACTCCCTTCTCATTGGATGTTTTTTTCTCGGCTCTTTTCAACGTTCCTTTTTTTCCTTTCTTTTCTTTTTTTTTTTTTTTTCCCAGGGAGTCTTGTGGCAAATATGTAGCCTTTTTCTTATTGGTCTCGGCTCTAAGAGGCTCGGGCAAGTCACTCCAATAGGGAAAATCCAGAATTAAAAATAACAATTAGCTCTACACAAATGACACCAATTTAAATTTGCAGAGTCCAAGTGCCTCTGTTCATAGCCACACCAGGGTTCCCTGGAAAGTGGCCTATATCTTTCTTTTTCACATATAAAATTGTATATACCCGAACCCACCCGTTACCAATTTCTCTCTTTTTTTTTCTTTTCTTTTTATATAGATATAGATATATATATATTATATATATCTTTGCCAGATATACTTCCTTTTATGAAGCCACTGACATACTCAGCCACAGCCTGTTTGCCATTTGTCTGCCAAATAGTTGATTGGCTTCAATTCTCCCAGGACCACCTTAAAACCATAGTGTACACTTTTTTTAGTTCCCTTTGGGCTCTCTTTTCCTTATATCTGACTCTATTGAATGCCATTGACCAAAATACTCTCTCTCTCTCCTTGGCCTTGTCTAGACCAAGTAACACAACGCCTTTTTGAAACAAGGTATGTCAACTTTTTTTTTTTTTAATTTCCCCTACCTTGTTCTCTCTCTCTCTCTCTTTTTTCTATGTATTCTGTCTGCTAGTTCTCTGCCATGGCATTTGGAGATCTCTTTCCCTATATGTTGACTCCTAGGTATGAGCCATAAGTTTCCCCTATCTCTCATACCCACCTCTCCCCTCCCCTCAAACCTGTTACTCTATAATTCCTTGATGTCTTTTCCCATTGTCCCACCTACTCGAATTTTGTGAGCTTTGGGCTTATGGCCTAAAAGGAGGGGTGTTAGTGCGTGTGTCTGCGCTGATTTTTCCTCTCTCCTCCCCTTTCAATTTCCTCGACTTTGAATTCTCTTTTTTTCCTTCTTTTTGAACACATCTATATTTCATCGGAACTAACTTGTATAGCTTGAGTTTTGCTTTCGATCCTGATCTTATTCCCTTTTACATTCTATCCTACTTCGTTTCTATCGTGCAGAGAGCAGTCTGACTTGTGGATTTGCTAGAACGGTGGTCCCGGGCTTTGTCTCTCTACAGGTAAGGAAGACCTGGAGTAGGGGGTACGGTTTCTACAGACACTAAAATCTATAACGTAGTTCTAAACAAGACTGCAATTGAACGTTTCGTCGACGGCCCCCATGGGCAATGCTCCTCCAGAAAAGACAGCAGACGGGACAGCACCGGTATTAGAACAGGGTTAGTCCTTTCAAAATCTTTCCCAAGTCCTTTTGACTGACTAAATCGTTTTTTTCAGCTGCATCTTCTGCTTCAGCGCGACCCAATGCCAGACACCATTCCAGCTTCGCAGAAGCTCGATATGGAACCACCTCTTCGCCCTTGAATATGGGCATGACATATCCCCTCCCAGGTCATCATTCACAAGGCTCCCCATATGATCATCAGTCAATGCATCAATATCCCGCAGCCCACGGGCAAGGCATGATGTATCCTATGCCAATGCCTCCGTATGGACACAACTCCGGCATGTACGGCATGCCTTACCCAGCTTATCCGCCATATGCGATCCCTCAAGGAACTCATTACCAGCCACATGGAACCCAAATGCAAAACCTCAGTCCCGGGCAGATATCTCCCTATGCCTCGGGTTATTACCCTCATTCGCCATGGGGTCCCCCTTACGGACCGACGGTGCCCACTGGACAAATGCCCCAGGCTTCACCCCCAGTCCGTACTAATTCAACCTCGCCCTCAAAACCGGCCTCTATGCGCAAAGAAGCCGATAAACGAGTGGTGGAATTGGAATACGACGTCTCCAAGACCATCGTGGATGGATCTAATCCCATGAAATTAGCCCACCCCCAACCGCTCCTCTCTGGTGAGCTACTTTTCTTTTCTTTTCCGTTTCCCCCCCTCCTCGGACCTTTCCGCTTGTGGAAATCGTAACTAACCTGCGATTCATCCAAAGATAATACTTCCCCTTCGCAATCAGCCCCGACCGCTCCGAGTACCCCACGAGGACCACCCCGAAAGCCAAAGCAATCCGGCCACGCGCTCTGGGTTGGAAATCTTCCCCCAGGAGCCAACGTCGTGGATCTCAAGGACCACTTCTCACAAGATGCAACAAACGACATCGAGAGTGTGTTTCTAATCTCCAAGAGTAATTGTGCCTTTGTGAATTACAAGTCGGCTGCTGCCTGTGTCGCGGCGTTGGCGAGGTTTCACGACTCCCGATTCCAGGGTGTGCGTGTGGTCTGCCGATTACGAAAGGGATTCACGGCTCCAGGATCCGGGTCTGTAGGTGTGGCAGGTCCCATGGTGAATCATGCTCCCCGACCACGATTGGAGGATATTGCTACGGCCACAGCTACTCCTACGACTACTATTGCGGATCCGGGTGAGGAACATTCAAGCACATTGGAGCTTAGCTCGGCAGCTCCCGCTACGGGGAACTACCCGCCCCCGGCCCGGCTGGTCGATCGGTACTTTATTGTCAAAAGCTTGACGGTGGAGGATCTTGAGCTGAGCAGGCAAAGTGGCATTTGGGCTACGCAGTCGCACAACGAGGCGGCAATGAATCAGGCTTTTGAGGTGAATATAAACATACATGTAGTAACTTGAATGACCGAAACTGACCTTTACCCAGACCACCGATTACGTCTATTTAATCTTCTCCGCCAACAAATCGGGCGAATATTTTGGATACGCACGCATGATGTCACCAATCAGCGACGACGAAGAACTCGCCTTGGAGATGCCATCTCGGCCCGATCTTCCGCCCGGGCCTGACGACCTCGAAGTGACCTTGACAGCGGCGACCTCGACAGCGCCTCAGGGCCGAATCATTGATGATTCCGTGCGGGGTACTATCTTCTGGGAAGTCGAGTCGTCGGAAGATGAGAACGACGCCGCCAGCGAAAAGAGCGTGGAGAAAAATGCCGAACTCGAGGATCCAGAAGAGGGCCAAACCTTTGGTAAACCCTTCCGCATTCAATGGATTTCAACGGAGCGAGTGCCCTTTCAACGCACCCGTGGCCTTCGTAACCCATGGAATGCGAATCGGGAAATTAAAGTTGCTCGCGATGGCACTGAAATCGAGCCGACGATTGGCCGGAAGCTGATTCAGTTGTTTCACTTGCCTTGAAGTTTCTGGTTTCCTGATTTCCTAACCTGGGGATGATCTACCCTGTTTCGTGTCTGTGTGGTTCATCAATCTGCAGCCTGTTTCATGTCCTACAATGGCAGAAATCTTCACAGGGGATTCATTCCAGGAACAAAATAAGGGTTGAGATTTCTGGTTCAGTGTCCAGAAACTCAGATACCCAGCACATATAACACTTTTACACTTTACGGGAAACGAGCAATACACGATGTACGTCTATCTTTTACACATTTACCTCTCTTTGGGCTAGGAACATGCTTCCCCTCTTTTGTGCAGGGATTGGCGGTGGTTCTGCACGGTACCTTATAAACAGCTTGCTTATTGCGTTTTATATTGTAAATTGATGAGGACACGAAGTCATGATATACCTACACCCATATATATAGCCCTATATAGCCCTATATAACCCTATATAGCCCTATATAACCCTATATAGCCCTATATAACCTTATATAGCCTCATATAAGCTTATAGTGTACCAAATCATTCCGCTGCTAACACATTCCTTCAACTTTGGTACCGTTGAACATTCGGCCAATCATAATGCTCAGAGTAGGTCACTCAGCCAATGAGATTGGATTACATACTTACCTGAACCAGATATCGAGATGTCACGTGGATGCTCTCTCCACTTAGCGCCACTTTCCCCAGATAATGTGATGCTTAGCTTTCTTCTACGGTACCTCGAGCATTTCCCACTTTCTTCTCTTCTCTTTCTCTCTGCCGGTCTTCTAACATCGAAATTTGCCTTTAGACACATCTCTCTCTTTTTTGAACTCTTTCAACATCTTCAATTCTTTCAATATCCCCACCATTCCTCCCAGATTTCCTCCAAGTTGAGATCATACCACTCTTCTTGGATCTTACTCTACCTTCCAACTCTTCTATTTTACCAGAAGGGCGGCTAGGCCGTCCAAATCTTTCGTGCTCTCGGTTCAGACCCTCCTTCATCTGACAATGTCCAACGATCGTACCTCCCCCATCTCGGTCCCAAATGCGGAGAACCGTCCACGTCGTGGTTCCCTCGCCGACATCTTCTCCAAGCCGAGTAACCCATCCAACACTCAGGCTACAACCCCACAGTCCAACCAGCGTCGACTGTCAATTACCACGCTAGGCCTCTCGGGGCCCCCCACCCAGACGTCCGCCTTTGGCAACCGCAACTTCCGTCGAGGTAGCCTATCTAGCTCAATGGGCTCCAATGTTCCAGCTGAGGATGCCCTCGAGGACGAGCAAGGATCAGGAACTTCGCCCAACTCGCAGTTTGGGAGACGTGTCTCATTTGGTGCACAGGCCCTGCGTGATGCTCGTGCAGGAAGCATAGGCAATGGTAGAAACTACCCCCCTCCATCTGCTGTAGGCCCACGCCGTTCTCCTCCGGCCGGCTCAGCCCTCGCTACTACCAGATCTTCCGCAAGTACTTCAACGTCTCCTCTGGATGGGACTAACGCATCACGACGACCCTTAGGCGAAGGCTTTAACTGGTCAGAGGCCCTCCGCTCTCGTGCCGAGCGTGCCCCTTCCATCGGCGGCCCTGTCTCCCCGCAGGCAGCTCAACGTTCCGGCTACCACCAGCGTGCCGCTTCCATCGCGTCGATGGAACAGCCTAGCCGGGAAATGCCCCGTCAGCCTAAGCAGAACAAACCGGATTTCTTCCAGGAGAAGATCTTGAGAGGTGATTTCATGGACTAGAAATCTAATCCTCACTTTCCAAGGGAAGTATATCCTGATCAGTGCTACCGGGCCCTCTCTGGCTTCTTTTCTTTCAGTTTTACTCCTTTCTGTTTTCTGCATTCGGCGCCAAAAGTCTCAACAGGCTTGTACCAAATCTGGGTATCCATCCTCTGGATGTGTCCTCCCAGCTCTTTCCTCTTTCTGCAAATAGGTGGAATATGTATCAAAATGATTCATGGAGGATGATCAGCTTTTCGTTTCTAACTCTGGGATCGGCGTTTTCATATGTTTCTGTGCCTTCTTCCTTACACATCCTGGTGATGATGAGTTTATTCTTTATGACTACCAAATTGACATCCACTATTCACTGGTTATTGGACTATGAATTGCATCTTGAAGTACTCTATATCTATTCTGTTCTGATCAGTATATACATACACTGAACTTCCCCCGTATGTTCATTACTTCCCAATATCACGCGAGCTTCTCCCTTTTTCTCCTTGCATCCTTCCTTCGGACCATATACAGACACTTCAACTTTTCGTGTCACCCCAAGGTCAACCAACCCTCAAGCCATTTGCGAAGAAGGTCCAGTCCCAGCAGCATCTTCCGCAGTCTCAGCATGTGAATGTCCAGGTACCTCTGCCGCCTTCTTGCTCGCTGCGCTTTCCTCCTCCTTGTTATACTTCTTTGCAACTTTCCGATCCATGAGCTGATCGGTCGTGAGTCGATTCTCCGGCTCTGGCGGCTTCCACTTGCTGCTCTTCCACGGCGGTACACGCATGATATACATCATATCCATCTCCTCAAGCGTCTTATCCTTGCCCTCAATGACAAAGAAGTAAACGATAATCACCGCGAAAAACAAACATCCAGCGAACACATATCCATATGCAAAGTCAATATCATCAGTGATGAATGGCGTGAAGAATCCAATTAGGAAATTCCACAGCCAATTCGACGCCGTCGCCATCGCCATAGCACGTGCCCGGTATCGGGATGGGTACAGCTCGGCCACGATCGCCCATACCATCGGGCCCCACGTCATCGCAAACCCGGTGATGAACAGACACGCAAATACAACCATCGCTTTGCCTGCTCCGGGTGTATTTGGTGGGTTCTTCACGTCAAGCGAGAAGTGACCCACAGACGCAAATACCATAAAGCAGACGAACATCCAGATACCGCCGGCGATCAGAGACTTACGTCGTCCGAAGTGCTCGATCACGTATAGTCCGCCAAAGGTTGTGCCAAAGTTCACTCCGCCTAGGATCATCTGCGTCACGTATGTGTTACTGATTCCCGCTCCGTTGAAGATCACCGTTCCCTAATACATATTAGCCAAGCTCGATGTGTATCATATCGCTTTCGAAAAAAAAAAACACTCACATAGTAGAAGAAATAGTTGGCACCCGTCAGCTGCTGCAGAGCCTGAAGCACAATGCCAAGTATGATACGATACATCATGCGCGGCGCCTTGAACATTTCAAACCAACCGCGGAGCCCGCCTCGTGCCCCCTGCTCGGCCTCTAGCTGCTCCTCGATCTCGGCAATCTCATGCACGATCACCCGGTGATTCTCGGGTATGCCGTACAGCTTCGACATGGTGCGTCGCGCGCGGTCCACGCGGCCATTTCGGTAGTCAAATCGAGGGCTTTCCGGAAAGAAGAGGATGCCAATTCCAAGGACAAGGCCCCAAAAGAACGTGATACCAAGTGGGATTCGCCACGATCCCGTGTTATCCATGCTTTCTGTGCCGTAGTTGATGCAGTTGGCGACGAATATTCCCAGTGTCACGAATAATTGGTAGGAGCTGGGAGTTGTGTGAGGGTTATTGATGTGCACAGCAATGTTTAAAGTTGGAAGATCACTTACCACACCATCGCTCCTCGAATATGTCGTGGTGCAATCTCACCCTGGTACATGGGTACCAGTAGTGAGCAAGCTCCTACGCCGAATCCGGTTATGAATCGTCCCATCATGAACTGGTACCATTTTCCTGCTGGCGAGGAGATCTGGATGATCAGTCCGACATGGAGGATGATACACCAGAAGAAGATGGACCATTTTCGGCCAATTCGGTCGGTCAATGGTCCGGCGAGGAGAGCTCCTATCAATGTACCGATGGAGAGCTGGAAAGCGTTAGGTTTTCATTCGCGTACTTTCTTCGAATTCGCCTTTCAAAGACATGCAACAATATGCACTCACCAGGGAAACAATCAATCCAGACCGGACATTGTTGAAGTGATACGTCCCATCAGGCCTCAGCAGCGCAAACCGCTGCTTGAAGTTTCTCATCTCCAAAAAGCCCGAGATCTGGCCAGTATCATATCCAAAAATAATACCACCGATCGAGACAAACGCACCTAATAGCAGTGACCTCCACGTCACCCATGGCACATGCGACTCATCCAGGCCGATGCCTCTCTTTTCGTTCTCACGATCTGCCACCGCCGACTCCCCGGACAAGTCCGTCAATGGTGGAGACTTGGACTTGTTGAGAAATGGGATTTTCATGGAGATGGGAGAAGTGAAGGTTTATCTACAATATATAGATGTAGTCTCATGTGTTAATATAGGTCTGGGTTCATTCGGATGGGGTTGGCATTAAAGGTCCAGAAATCATGTCCAGGGCTATCTTGCGTATTATAAAGACCTGGTCTAGGTCGAGTGTCTTTGCATCGTCATATTGCCACTTCCGGAACAGTTCTCAGGTTTTAGAAGATCGTCACATTGAATGCGCCGCCTTGTGTATTATATTATCTTCCCTGATGTTGGCGATCTATGTATGATATTTTCATGAACAGTACACCAGAAGTTGCTTATACTATAGTTGACCATGTACATGATCTTTGTCGATGTATATACCCATAATCAGACTCCGTGGTAGATATGTCCGAGGTAATCGGTATGTCGTGGTGCCGACGAAGTCGTGACGTCAATACTTTTTCTATCGAAAAATGATCTCCGACGGCCCTAGAAAATATCGTTGGTCATAATTATGTGTATATGTGCGGATTATAATAGACCGACGATACCCGTGCGGTAGAATGGCAAGTAGAAACATACAAAAATGCAATTCAGTTCTCTAAAGCGAATGGCCCAAGTAAAACAGTCTCAGTAAGGAATGCCGTTCGTCATCAGTTGGAACTGATCATAACCCTTAGTCGACACGCTCATGTACGACTTGCGCACAAGTTCTCGCATGTACTCAGCTGCATCGCGCTCGCTCTTGTCCAACACAAACCGGTCACGGAAATTCTTCAGAGTCTCGGGCTTGAAGCACGGAAGACCACTGTCAAGCATGAGAGAGACTATATGGGCCAGCTTCGTGCTATAAGGCCGAGATGCGAGGAATGCCTTCACCACCAACGACTCGAACCATCGATATGGTTGTGTGTTGGTCGGGTTGTGGGAGCTACCTGGCAGGTTGATGCCCGAGTTGCCGCCCTGGTGATGGGCTGGGTCGTGGGTTCCGCTCATGACGGCGACCATTTCGGAGGTCAACTTGAAAGGCGCGCGCTCGAATCGCACTCCACCCGGTGCAATATCGAAGCAGAATCCGAAGTCAATATGGATGATATGGCCGGCGTCATCAATCATGATATTCCCGTTGTGTCGGTCCTTGAATTGCAGCAGGTAAGAGATGACTGAGTAGGCGGCCATACTCTTGACGAAGTTGGTGCGCGCTTCTTGGAATCGGATAGATTCTTCGCCACCGTATTTCGACACAAAGTAGTCGTATAGCCCGTTGACGGCCTCGCGGCCGAGCATATCTCGAGAAATGGAGTTGGGGAGCACATCAATCACACCACAGCCAGGCGCGGTCGAGGTCACCCGGTAAGGGTAGACCCAAACGTCTAAGCCAATACTGGTGAAGATGCTTCTGAAGGCCGCAATCATCTGTAGGGCAAGCATGTCCTGACGGCAGTCGTCACCGACCTTGAAGATAGCCGACTGCCAAACTTCATATGTCTCCTGCTCAGGTTCAGAATGATTCGTCAATTGACGTTGGTGGTGGTGGTGGTGGTGGTGGTCACCGGCATTAGCCTCAGCCTTTTCGATCAATCGTGGTCTTGTCTTCTGGATTCGGAACGTTGCCATATAAGGCGCCTTCGCATGACTTTGCAAAGGCTTACCAGACTTGCGGTCAATACCAACGACCACACCGTCAGGGTTGCTGGGAAGGTACACTCCAACTTCCACTTTGATCTTACGCAACTCTTCCTCAATTTTCTCCTTCTTCTCGGGCTTACTCCTCTTGATGTAGGGGCGAAGTTTGCCGGAGACACCCGTGACTTCATTGAAGAAGGAAAATTCTCTCTCGTAGAAGGCACGCTCCTCATCCGAGAAGCTTGAGATCAAGTTATCTAGGAAACGGTCGAGCGTATCCTTGATAGGGTCCGGCTGTCAAGGCAGGATGTTAGCAAAGGGTGGTTAAGCTTCGACAATGTCAATACTTACAATTTGAGAATCTTCGTCTTTGAAGGAGTTGGCTTTCATGTTCCAAATGACCTGGTGGGCAAACAGTTGAGACAACTTGGCTGTTTCGAGGATGTAACGGTCTACATAGCCTAGAGCATCGAAGCGTAGAGCCTGAACGAGTTGTGGCACAAAGTAGAACCGAACATCCATCGAATAGCTCTCCAACGCCCGCATCGCGTACTGCAAGATGTAAGGATGGTTGCCGTAAGCGGGCATGAAGTATGTAATAGCCTCCGTGGGAGTAACGGGGGCCCAGTACAGCATGTACTTCAACTGAGAGCCGACATCAGCGGGCAGACAGTTGTCAAACATAATCTCCAGAGCGCTTGGCTCCTCAATGACCTTCTCGGGAAAATTGAGTATCAATGATCTAAGGTCAGCTTGCATTTTTGGCGAGGGGAACCGGGCAGCCATCTGAATAGCCAACCCTGCATTTTCCGCCCAGGCAAGCCGAAGTAGATATACGGGGCTTTCATCGGGATGCTTGCCTCCAATCGAAGGCATGTGGTGCTTTCGCTCCGGGTCCAGGGGGAAGAGCCAAACTCGAAGCCGAGATCGTTCATTCTCCACGAGTATTTGAAGCAGATCTTGTTTGGCCTGCAACGACTTGTACGATCCTTGCGTATGAGCAGCGATACCTGAAACGCCTCGTAAGGCCGCAGTCACCTCGCTCAGAACTCTATCCTCCGCCTTGATCTGCAGCCGGTTGCCTCCAAATGACCACCGTGGAGGGTGCTTGAACCAACTCAAAGCAGCAGACAGAATCTGGTCCTTGAGTTTCCAAGATGCGCCACTATTCCGGGGGCTAAGATGCCTTAGAACCTTGAGGCCGAGGAGCACAATACGGAAATGGATTTCCCTCGCCAATGGATGGCCCTTGGTCTTTGAGAGTCCAACAACGGTACTGCCAATCAAGCGACAAAACAGCTGTTGATCTTGCAGATTTCCTAGGCGGATCGCATTGAAATGGCTCTCGAAGAAATGAAGAACTCGCAGGTGCGGCGAGAGGGTGTCTTGGGCTTTTTGCTGCATGCGAAGCATAAGATCTTTGTCAGTTGGCAGAAGTTCAATCTTAGTATGCAGTGGATCAAGGTATTCAAAAGTAGGATCGAACATTCCTTTGCGGCGTTTCATGCTTCTCTCCCAAGCCTCGATCACCTCGCATAGGATCCGTGGCTCGGTGTTTGGATTCTCGTGGATGACACCAAGCCAAAGAGATACACCAAGCTTGACTGTCTCCTTGGTGAAAATCTGGAAAGGCAATGCAACCAAGTAGTGAACCACGGAGAGTCGTGGCTTGCTGGTACTGCAAATAAGTCCCGCGGCCTGCCGAAGGACATCCCTGACTTCCACGAGGGGGATATCCTCGCCCGAAATGCTCTTTTTATATAGGCGAGAGAGGGTCTCTTCCAAAGAATCGGCAGACTCAGGCAAAATATTAACACGGGGCTGTTCAACATAGCCGCTACAAGTATCTCCCTTCAACCCGCCGAGAGAAGGTATCTCTGGACGTCGATACTTCTGGCGTGTCGTATACAGTGCCATGAAATCAGATGCGACATTGAAGTCTCTGCTGCCATGGCCGTCAATTGAACCAAGCCGCGGGTCACTTTGTGGGATATAGGAGCCCATTTCGAGAGCGAATGAACGTCCCATCGAAATGTGTCCGTAGCCACCATCGTCGTCATATTCGGAAAGATAGGTCTGGAGTAGTCCCTTGACATCTAATGGGGCAATATTCAGGACGGTTGTCACCCAGGTCCTGGCCCGCTCATGGAACCGATTCAGAGTCGCCCTTCTCAACGCGTAGTTGTCGGGTAATTCGACCTCGACTATTCCCATGGGAGACACCAAGGATGGCTTCCACTCAAACTCATCGAGTTCTCCTTGAAGACAGGAAGACCACATGACAGTCAGAATCTCAAGCAAAGCAAACAAAGAATGCTTTTCACACAAGGCAGAAGGGCATTCGCGAATGATTTTGTCAGCACATTGCGCCGCAATACTTTGAACTCTTTCTATACGATGACAGCAAGCCACCAGGAATCCAGCAAGCTGCTTGGACAGGTACGGGGTCGAAAAGTCATCGTGCTCTCCAGAAAGTGTAAGAGACAAATAACAGGTAACCGCCTTGTCAGCAACAGCATTCATACATACGACCATCTCCGGAGTGGCCAAAGCTGGGTCAAGGAAATAACTGAGCGTCTTGGTAGAGTCCCCCGAGGAGGCACGGAGGCTCTCAACCAAAACCACGGCGTTAAGAAACACTGCTCTTGAATAGTCCAATCTCTTGATATCGGATTCTCGGCCGGGAAGTTCAGAAATCAAAGCTCTCTTCTGTTCCATGGCTCGTTGTGGTCCCATCCCACGTCTGAGCACCGTGTTTAATTCCACGTCGCTCTCCAGAGATTCCATATGGTTCTCGGCAACCAAAGGAGGAGAATGATGTGCAAGAAGGCGGAGTTCCTTCTGATGCCGTTGGGCAACACTGGAACTGAGGGATATTCCGTGTATAGCGATATTGAACCAAGCATCTCGGAATAGAGTCAAAATGGCTTCATCATACTCCAAGGCTGATCCAGGAACCCCGGTAGAAGTACCATTGGAAGACACAAGCAGAGCTAGCGGTTTCAATAGAGGGGTGATATCATCCGCGGCAAAAATTATTTCCTTGTGGCGCTCATATTCAAGGTCTGGCACATCACCCTTATTGATAATGCTCTCCAACAAATGGACGAGATAAAGCCTGTGGAGTGGCGACTTCTGATCCAACGAGATTGAAAGGTAAGCCATAGCACATTGAACAGCATCAGAAACGGTATTCAGTCCCTTGTTAACGCCATCAAGGTATATACGTGCATAAAACTTCAATAAGAGCTGGAACTCGGCTTGCCCGCCGCTCAAAGCAAGAACGGCAGTTTCTTGGATAATGAATGCATCAACTGCGACATTGAGCTTGCCAATCTTTTGCAGAAGCATAGACTGGGCCAATGCGCTGATTTTACCATCGTGGCAATTAGTCGCAACTGTGA